TCCCTGGCCTAATCCGTTTAACCTCCATGTCAACTGGGTCTGCTATGACCCGTCGGCAGACGCAATCTAAATTACCCCTGGCTTGGGCGCCCCCAGGATGTGTCGTCACATCCTGTCACAGGGCTAAGGCTAAAGTGTTGTTTTAATAAGCGTTTCGCAGCATCACCTTTGTGTTTGTGTGTGCGGCCTGATGGCCTTGTTTTCATTTTTGCTAATGGCCCACAAGTTGGCCATTGTAAAGCCGAGGTAAGACTTATGGCTTTCCATCCTGGTGATGATGTTCTCAGGCCCCATTTTGGCCAGGACATTAACCTGTGGGGGGGTGGCAGGGGCAGAACCTTTGGGGACTCCCCCGTTATGCATTCCGGCAAATGATCTTATTAGGCCTTGACTACAAAGGATTATCCGTTCTGAAATTGCAATCTCTGGGCACTTAAGGGAAAGCTATTGAGCACTTGTGCAGGCTATAAAATTTGTAACCATAGAAAATAGATCCACAAATTTTGCAATACAGAATGGCTTCTTATCGAAATCGCTCTTTTTTGTAACATATCAAATGGTCCAAATAGAAAAATATTCCATATAATTTTCACTTAATCAAAAGGCACTTATTTGTAACGTTTTAAATGCTATACATATAACAAATACTATAACTAAATTTCATATTATAACCTTAATTCAGAGGTACAAAATCTTTGTTAAGATTTTATTAATAACATACAATTAATTCCCTCAAATGTGTTAATGTTTTTCTTAAGGCCAGTAATTTCGTTGCATGCTGAGCCACTCTATTATCTATAAGACACTAAAAGCTTTATATAAAACTAAGTGCTAGGGCTGGGATATGTGTCCTCCATACAACTCAATTTTCGAATCCAATTCTCGGGGTGGATAAGTGCGTTAAGCAATTTGTAAATGTAACTAACAGATACAAATCTGCTGAGAGTGCGTGGCCGGAAAAGAAGAAAGCACATAATCAAAATTAAAATAAGAATCTCATCGCTCAGCCGCAGACACAGAGCCACCGAGAGAGATACAATCCGGCAGATATGACACTGGGAACAAACGACCCAAACAAATTACACATTTTCCTCCGCTTTATTGTTGGCAATTTATTCGCAGCTAAATTGAAATACACACCATTTACCTGCAGACAACAACGCACAGCCGCTGACTCCCGGTGACATTGACAAACTGGAGTAGGCGGAATGGGGCAGCTGGGCTTAGTTGGGCTGCCCCAGATCGTGACATCATCTCCTGCTGCCCGGGACTCAGTTGGGGTCAAAGGCGAGACAAGCCGTGGCGGTTTGACATGCCTTGAACCCTGAAACGAATTCCATTAGAAATATCAGATTCAATCAAGTTGATAATTAAACCTCGGCGTAATAACAACGCAGTTCTCAGGGTTTTTGGGGGTTAAATAAAAGTTGGTTTATGTATTTACCTATAAAATGTTTTTAGAACAATGTAAACATTTAATTAATAGCATTAGTAGCTATGGCCGCTTACTTTAGTTTATAACTTAAATATAACAGTTTGTAAATAAATAAATTTAATAGTATAAATTATTTGTAATATTTCTAGAATGCATCCCAGAGCTGTACACATGCAAAATATTTTTAAATCATTTTCTGAAAACTATGAAGGCAGTAATAAATATACAAATTTGCATTTAACTTTAAAAGTCATAAAGTTATAGTATATAAGTAACTTATTTCTAACTTCAATTTTTAATGGAAATCTGATATTGTAAATTGTGGGTTCAAGCAAATAAAGAATAAAACAAATTATCAGAAGCAGCAACCACATACTTAACCAAACCATTTCTATAACCACCAAACTTTAAAGAGGCTTTTGGTAAGTGAAGTGGCCACATATCCCGGTGTGCTATATATACATACTAACTTCCAGTCCAAGGCTCAATTGCCGTGCCGAATGAATGGCCTGGGCAACGGCAGAGTTTTTGATTTTAATTTAGATAAAGTGCGCTATGGAAATCAGTTTCGCTGTAACTTTGCCAGTTTATCCGGGCTCCAATCGGGCCCAGACAACTAAACACTCCATAAATACAACAACCGGGGGGCGTGGCAATCGGGAGGCGGGCTTAAGGTTAGCTGTAAATTGCACGCTTTCATGTAGATAATTAATCACCGCGAGCATTCGGCAAGTGGTTCTGTTCAGGTGCTCCCTGTTGTGCAAAATAAAACTCTTTCACTTGAAGATTTGGTTTTGCGGCGAATGTAAATGCAGTTTCATGCAAATTTATTCATGATCTTATCCGAGTAATTTTAAGTTCACAATGCTAAAGCATTGTGCTGTTCGAGATTTATGGGCAGCTCCATTTTCGGAGGCATTCGCGGAAGTCAAATCAATTATACGCCCTGTTGGGCACTCGATGCACGAAAGGAAATTGAAATTGAAAATTAAAATTGAAAATGAAATTTGATATAAATTAATGCAATTAAGCATTTGGCTAAACACGATGAGGGATTAGGGTTTAATTTAAATACAACCCAGTTCATGAGCAGAATCAGATAAAAAGCCAGTCCACTATAAGGAAAAATATAATAAAGAGAATTTTTTAATTTTTGTTCAGAGAATTCCCTTTTTATTAATTAATAAATTAATTAATTATTCAAAATATTAACTAGGCTTGTTGAACAGTTTTCTGTTGGATTTACAAACCTTAAAATGTTTGAAATTTTATTTCTTAGGTGAAAATTATATTGCCATCTACAACTGTAGTTTATTTGAGAGAAACTCAGTTCTTGTGCCAAATCAAATGGAATTCCCATTGATTTAAACTAAAATAAATTTATCCAATGTAAACGCATTTATAAAGCATACACTTGCAAATGTTTCTGTCTTTTTAGTATCTGGCTGTTGGTTAAAAACAATCAGCCCTAACTACGAGGATAAAAGTACTCGAAATTCAATAGTCAGAGCAGCTGGGACTTGGATTGGGAAACTTTGGACCTCCACGTGCATTTCCTAGAGCGTTTGCGATTGCAAATGGGAAAATATTTAAATTTAACTCAATTTCGAACGCAATATGCTCTTCGGCACCACTTCGTAACCGAGAGCGTGTCCTTCTGCCATAATACAGGATATTTGATTTGATTTATTTATAAGTTCAATTTGTGCACATTATTTTTCCAATATTAAACTTTGATGCGGATGCAGTTGAGGCGACTGGCGTCCACTAGGGAATGCAAAGGAAAATAAATTCAATTTACCAGTTGGCAAGTGCAAAGCGAATGCCAAATGAAGATGGCCAATATTCGTGACGATGGGTGGATAAATCCAGCACCTACATTTGAGCAAAGTGAAACAACAGTCGGTTCCACACACATCACAAAAAGTTGTGTCCTTTGCATTAACAACCTCAAGTTTTTCCTTGTAGAGCTGGAAAACTTGCTGGAAAAATGCATGCAGATGAACAATTGCCGAGGAAAATAAAAGAGAGGGACTTTTTTTTTGTGAGCTGTTTCTTCAGTTGCTGCACATAATTACATGAAAAGAAAATTAGTGTCGAGATTCGCCTTGAGCGCCTCTCCAGGTGAAAACTTTTAATGAGCAATTTTCTCACAAATTCCCAAGTGTTGCCGCATTTAATTTTTTAATGAAAGAATTTCTTTTAGCCGCAGCGAGAGAGTTGGAGAAATCTGGCTGGAAGGATTTCAATTTTGACCGCTTTCCTTTGAGTTCTTCAATCAGTTTCGGCTTCATTTAGGACTCCCATATTTATTCATCCTTTGGCATGTTTTCGAAGTGCGTAATTGGAGGAGTGAGTGGTAGGCCATCTAGGTGTTTGTGTTTATTTATCGGCGGCACAGAGAGCGCCCTGACCCATGTTAATGGCCGATTGACACGCCACTTGGCCTTGATGGGCCTTTTAGCCCGGCCCGCACTTGACTGCTGCTCCCCAAAAAACAGACGAAACGCTTCTGCAGCTCCACACTTTCACAGGATTAATGGTGGGGGAAAGTGCTCGGCCGGGGGCTCCCACACTCGATGAACGAGGTGCTAAGCGAGCGTGCTGATTGCTGCTATTTTTGATAAGGAGTCCGCATTAATATTTCCCTTGCGTTGGTGGCCACCGTTTTGTCCAGTCCACTGATATATGTATAGCTGCGACTCCAATGGCTCATTAGCACAAGGACTTCACACATGGTATTGCAACACTTATGTTTAAATGCATTAATTAATGTTTCTAACAAGAACTCCCAATACCGAATTTGTCAGTAAAAAATATGCATATATATTTCTATATATTAAAAATTAAATATTCCTTTTGAGATTGTTTTATAAAAAACACCCCTGTTCTTAGTCTTTATTTAGGAATTTCTGAACTAGTCTTTCAGTCCTTGAAACTTAATTCAGAAATAGACTTTAAACTATTTTCATAAAAGTACCAACCAAATCCAAAATTTTCCTACCACAGATCTGCCTTATTGACCTGTCTAAAGCGAAGATCCAAAGATGGCCGACTACACCAACCTGTTCAGGTGCCGCAAGGCAGTGATAATCTTATCTGAGGAGCCAGCACCCTGCTAATACGAATCTGGTCAAATTTTCTGCCAAATAAACAGGCAAATAGAAAAGCCATTTGGTATATTTCCATATTCATAAATCTGCTGGCCGATAAGGTTCGACCAGCCACGTCCATAAATCGACATTTCACAGGCTTCAGTGAATTGTGGGTGGCTTCAGGCCAGGTCCGAGGGTTGCCTTCCGACTAAATCAAGTGTCTGTTCGGTGTCAGTTTAATTGCAAACGTAAATTGGATGCTGTCATTTGCTACGTTTTCATTTGTTCAAAACTTGCCCAACCCTCCTGCACCATGAAGCTGAATCTGTGCAGCACCCCTGGCAGTTTCCATTGACTTTTGCTGCCATCCGTTCTGACGGACATTTCTGCCAGCTGCTCCAGAATCTCTCAACTTGAATCTGCCCAGAATGCAAACGTTGCACAAATCCCAGCATTGTTAATTGGACTCATTTTGGTAGCTGGCAGCTTGTGTATTTTAAATTGGCATTTCTGACAGGCCACTGGAAAAGTCAGACGTCTTTACATTTAACATACAACATGGGTGTACTCTACCGGGCCCTAGTCGAATTCTAGTTCGACCTTTTCCTCCGCTTTCTTTTGGTTCAGCTCTTCCATTTTCTTGTTGAGGATGTCCCAGTCGTAGATCTTGTCGTTGGGGAACTTGAGCCGGTGCAGTAAGTCCAGAAAGGAGCGCCTTGTGTGCAGATAGTTGGGCTCCTCCTCGAAGCGAATTGCTCGGCTGTAGACGATGAAGTGGAAGAACTCATCTGGGTAGCCACGACACAGGTCCTCCACCCTCGTGGAGACCTTCATTTCGGCGATCATCTCGTGCTTCTGGATCTTGGAGGTGGCCTTCAGGCCCTGCCACGGCAGGGTGCCCCTTAACAGGTACATGAGGACATAGCCCAGGGACTCAAGGTCATCCCGCCGGGATTGTTCTCCTCCACGTAGCGCATTTACGGAGGCGTAGCGGGCGGTGCCGGTCAGTCGGCTGCCGGATTTGCGGATCACGCACTTGTTGTCCGGCACATTGGAGAATTGCTTGGCCAGGCCCAGGTCGATTAAGTACAGCCGGTGCCTAGTGTCACCTCGACCCATCACGAAATTGTCCGGCTTGATGTCACGGTGAAGGAAGTTATGCGAGTGCAGGAACTCCAACCGCTCGATCATCTGCTCCGCCAGCATGAGCACCGTCTTCAGGGAGAAACGGTGCTTGCAGAAAATGAAGAGATCCTCCAGCGAAGGACCCAGAAGCTCCATCACCATCACATTGTACTTCCTGGCCGAGTGGAAGCGGTAGACCTTGGGAATGCCGGCACCCTGGCTCAGGATATTGTAAAGCTGGTACTCGAAGCACAATTGCAGATTGTGGGCACTATTGGGCTCCACTTTCAGGGCCACGAGGAGGCCCGTCTTGCGGTGCTTGGCCCTGTAGATCTCCCCGAAGGAGCCGGAGCCTATTTTTCGCCCCACCGCGTAGTCGAGGATGTTGAACGGGGCTTCGATGTCTTTCAAATAATCATCGCCCATTCTGCTCGCATAACAAAATAAAAGACTTTCTCCTTGGAACGGAACTTTTTTTGGGCACAGCGTTGTCGCGGCGGCGACTATCGATAAATTTAGTTACGATTTGGGCTTGTTACACTGTCAAGCATTGGGGTCTACGATTTGCATGACTTGCTCAAGTTAATAAGTAAGTTATGCATAAATAAGAAAATAGTAGCAATCTAATTTGACTATAAATATTTTTCAGATGATAAAATTAATGCTAACAACATTGTTAATTAAAAATATTCTAAAGAGCCATTATTTTAAATTAAGGCTTGTCACACTGTTTTGGGGCTCTACGACTTGCATGACATGCTTCAGTTAATAAAAAAACAACAATGCTTATCGAAAATATTTAAAAATAAGCCAATATGACTATTTTATCCTGTTTAAACGGAGCATTTTTGGATTTGGAACCATCGTTAAATCTTATAAAATAAATCATATAAAAATTGAATTCGAATTTGGTTGACAAGCTTACCCTGGCTTTTTTTGACATATAAAAACTGTTTTAGAGTATGAAAAACTGCAAAATGTCTGAAGTTCGGAACGAAAGCCTAAATAATTCAACAGTATCCCAGGAATTTGCATTAATGCGTTCGGAATACGACTTAAGAGTAGACCAACTGGAACAAGATGTTTACGAGTGCTGCAGAATTTTGAATAAACTCAATAACACTGAAGATCTTAGTAGTTCCTTACCAAAAAATGGATCGGAAGCCGAAAAGTTTTTAACCTGGGAGTACAATATGAAAGACTTTCCCGTAGAGAACATAGCCATCCAGCTCAAAGAGGAGCACGTTTATCTTCAGGCCTATAAAAAGAATCGGGGAAAGTGTCTGGATATCAAAAGAGAAATTTTAATGCCAGAGAATGTGGATAAATCCAAAATTTCAGCCACACTGACACCGAGAGGTATTCTTACCATATCTGTTCCAATCGTATAACCGCTATGGGATGAACAGAAGCTTTTATTGTGAAGTTTTTATTTTTGTATTTTTATTTGTTAATTAAAATTTGTATTTTATATTTGCCTCTTATTTGTACTTTTGATCTGTGCACCAGCAGAGTCCTAAAAAATATATTTTAATAAATATTAAAGAATTACTGTCCCTATAACTCATTGTTAATATGCTGAGGACTTGCTCTAAGATACGGTCCAATTGTGAATAATAAATCATACCATTTCTCATAGAGGCGCCTGTGCCTTAGAGCAAGGTGCCCAGCAGACTACAGATTCCGGCCTGCGGAATAGAATTGGATTGATATTCGGACTGGGTTGGCACATGGCATCGGGAACACAGGGAAATATCATGATTTGCGGAGTAGGTCGAAGAAAAGGTCCATGGGACTCAATTTGCTGTTCGGTTCTGAAGCTCTCTAATAGCTCCTTCTTCAGTTCCTCAACAAAGCTCCTCCTGCAGGACGACTCCATGTCCCAATCATTAGAAATTTTTGGGCAACAGAGATCCCCTCGGATACTGGATTCCATGGACTCCTGATGCTGAGATGGCAAGGCTGGGAAACTACTGGCATATTCACTCTGAGGACCACAAGACCACTTTGGAATGGGGTCAGGACAGCAAGCCAGTTGCATTTGGTCTGGTTGTTTAATATTTCTTGTATTATCTCTTTGCGAAGCACCACCTGAGCACTTACCTATCGTCGATTCAGAAGTTTTAGGTGAGACTTTGGAAGCACATTCCGATTTTGTTGCTGGCAGTGGGTGTGTTCTCCGGATCGGTACTTTTGGAAAAGTTTTTGGTCTTTGCCTCGGGCAACTGCAAGATTTTCTCGGAGGGACTTCAATTTTTCCTTCGTCGCCTATCGTAATATTGTGACTTTGAGACCTGTGGCATTTACTTTTATTGGTAATGTCCAGATCCTTGTTTTTCGTTGGGCAAAGCGATTTATTACTGCTCGATGTCCTGGAAACGGATCTGCTTACTAGACTCTTGGAACTATTTGTTTTCAAGATTATCCTTTTGGGAGGTATCCTTTCGGTTTTGTTACTTACACCTTTTAAGCACGACCTCTTATTTGTATCGGATTGACATAAGGTCGGTGGTTTGGAACACTTTTCGATCATGTTTGATCGACAGGGTCTAGAATTATTGTTTTCCAGTCTATCGGGAGAAAAGCAATGACCGCAATCAGGTTGATGGTTACAAGATTTTGAGTGACGGGTTAAGCTCCATTTAGTGCGGATATGATGGCGTGGGCAAACTTTCTGGGGAGATCTACTTTTTATCAAATCTGGAGGGGTGCTCTTCTGGTTGCATTTATTCTCGTGAGATGTCCCGGTTTTCTGTGATCTAAACGAAACGCTTTTGGAGCTGTTTGATGAAAGGGAGCAACTAAATTTAGGTTCTCTGACATTCTTAAACAGGTTTTCATGACTAGAAATGGAATTGCTGCCACATAATGTGCATCCGCTAGTTTGTCTTGATAGTGAATGATTGGGAGAAGTGCTTATTTTGACATCCATATTTGAGTCAGTCTCTCCTATATGATCATTACCTTTGCTGGATAAACCATGACCTCTTATCACTTTGGATGATATAATTCTCGGGTTGGACAAGCTCACATCTGTTGCCCGAATCGTAAGGCAAACATTTATTTGACTTGGCTTGATGGGATCTTCACTTGTATCCTTACTATAAAGGCTGCAATTTCCGCTGGACACGCGGTTTGATACTTTGTAGGAATTCCCGGGAGCAATGGTTCTGAAATATTGACTGGTTCGTTTACTTAATCCCCGATCATAGTCATCGTTATTTACCTTTGGTCGGTGGTCGGCTGAGCTCAGCACGTTGTACATGGAGTACTCATGGTACATCTCATTGTTATTTTCAGGAAGTTGATGGCTCTTTCCTCTGTAAACAGTGGGATATGGGCATCGCTTTCTAATCCTGGATAAATATCTTTGGGAAACATTTTTTAAGGACGGACCAAAAATCGGAATCCGCGACTCCATAGATTGGTTACTTGTTTTGGGTGAGTTTAAAGCAGAATCACTTCTTTTATTGTGATAACCGTTTGGCCTACTTTGTCCTGGCTTTAATATTTTAGAATTATTCCCAAAAAGCTTTGATCTCTTTAAGCAAATTTTCGACCTCTTTAAAAATCCAGATATTTTTTGCCTAATTGTCTTGGGCCTGAAATTACTCTGAGCATCATAAATAGATGTTTGTGGCTTAACTAATTTATTGCTTTTACAATTGCCTTCTAAGTAACGTGATCGATCTTTTGGCTTGAAATCGGAATTCAAATTACTAGCAAAAGTTTCACAACCCGAATCCGATCTTTTTGTTATATATCTATTTTTTTGAGGATAGGATTGCTTACGTTCCTTCTTCTTATATGGTATCTCAATGGTAAAAAATATTGACGATGGTGTTTTGCTACATTCTCGAATTCTGTGTGGAATCTCTGATCCCTCATTTAAGTCCTTAAACCGGACAAAGTCTACAGCCTTTTTTTGATCCACTGGAGATTTATGATAACTCCGACTTTTCTGACGATTATATTCTCTAGATGTAGATTTATTCAAATATTTAGTCCCTGATCTTAAGATTCTTTGTGGTCTAGGGACATCGTTGTTGACATTATTAGGGTTTTTTCTAGGGGAAACTTCATCTTTAAAGTATTTTTTAGAAATGTTTGTATTAGACTGCTCTGCATTACTATGAATTTTGTATCTGTTTTCAAGTTTTCTGTTGGACTTCTTTTCTTTATAAGATCTATCAACTGAATTGTTGAAATTGTGTCTTAGGGGCTGACCAAGGCTAAAAATATCTTTAGATATTTCATCATACTTCTTTGCTGCTTCTCTGGTCGCGGGACAATGGTTGCAACTTTTTCTATGTGGAATTTTCTCTGGTTGGTAATGCCGATTACTTCTATTGTATTTTATTTGGGGAGCTTCAGGCGGTTTGAGAAATGGCATTTTCTCATCTTGGAATCTCGGTTCTACTTCAGCTTTGTACATTTTTCTAGGATATTTCAAAGGTTCGTTTATATCCTTGTATGACGGTTGATTACTATAATATTTGTGGTACTTAGGTTGGGGTTTAGGAAAAGGGGTCCTAGGTGGTTTTAAGCGTTTGTGTTCGTAATAATCTGGATAATCAAAATGATGTGAATCCGAATATTGGTTTTGGTAATTTTTAGCAGGTTGCCTTTTGTAATTTTGGTCTGGCTTATAATCATTCCTATTTTTATAATCCTTGTACTCATGGAGATAATAATTTGGAGCATGTTCGCGTGGCAAATATCCTGAAGCTTGTCTATGTATTCGTTTTGGTCTACTCTTCTGAGGAGTCGATCTCGGATCACGTGGCAAAGATACAATATAATCTCTTTTATAATTATTATGAGGTTCTTCTCGATAATAATAGTCTCTTTCATAAGGTTCCGGTAAGCGAGTTTCTCTATAGTGTTCTTGTGTTTGCCTTGGACTATAAGAGTAGTAATTATTGGGACTTTCAAATCTTGAATAGGTATTTGGCTCTATTTTTTGATAATGTCTAAAAGTTTTCTCTTCTTCAGAAAATTCAGAGGTTAGGTCGATCTTATGGCAGGGTTCACATTCCTCTTCCTCGTAGTATTCATCATGTTCGTATAGCCTTTCAGTTTCATTGTCGGGAGTAAAATGAAAATCCGCAGAATTTACTGAATTGCATGGGGAAACCGATTCTTTAACAGCAATTCCACGCCTAGGCTCAGTTGTTCTATGATGAAAGTGCCTACAACTGTCAAAATAAGCAGAGTTATCTCTTCTACGGCTATAATTGCCGTGATCAAAATCATCATGACTGTGAGCATGGAATTTATTTGGTGCCCCAAATGACATCGCACTCTCTGTAATTGGATTGCCCAATCCTCCGCCGGGATTTCGTCCTGTGTTTGTGTATGTGTATGTATTCGGGTTAGTAGACGTTTGGGAAATGTCGTTAATCAACTCACGCTTTCCATTGCACTCCGAGGTCCTTGGCGCCGTAATCTCGTTTCGGCGGTCACAGCACACTGCCCCCGAAATATCGACATTGAAAAATATTAACGTCCGCTTCCATTCGTCCTCATCCTTGGCGCTCTCAAATCGGATTAAGCTCCGGTTCGTCATCGTAAATGACATTTTCACCAGCCCCGGAACTCATGCTCCCTTAATCGTCACGAATTGAACTGCAAATTAAATTCATATCGATTGTTTGTTTATGTCAGTTGGTTATGTTTTTTTTTGATACTCTTTTCAAATATGTAGGCTTAACTTAATTATCACTTACCTATTTTTTTTCTGAACTCGTAACTTTTTTGTATTCAGATATAAAATACATTATAAACCCTTTTCCGAAGGAATTAAGTTTATTTCACAATGACTTAACGTTTAAATTGATAAAACATCTACATTGTTCTTGGGAACCTAGCATTTTATTATCAAAGATGTGGCCTTCACCCTGGATGTTTTCAAAATGCTGTAATCAAGGTAAGCACTGGGTCCCGCGATTCATTTTATAATCCCAGAAAACGTCATTAACTTTCGCTTCCTTCGCTGTTTGCAGCTCCCGTATTTAATTGAAGAATAAATGCCTGAAATGACAAACACAAAGGATGTGCGAATGGGGATGAGAATCTGAATGGGAATGGAATGGTGGTCATTACTTGAAGTGTGCTAGAAAATATGTTTTTAATTGCGGAAATATTTCCATTTCACAAATAGATGCGATAATTATTCAGAATGGCGCGAATTTCCATCACATTAAAAGTGCAGACAATGGGGGATAGTAAAATGCAGCTAGCGGATAATGAAAATCGTGTTCAAGTGCGGAAATGCTGAAAATTATTTCAATGAAACACAACTAAGTGCTTTTTAAGTGCCCCCAATGGTGGCACAAACCAAACGGAAATGGACGCAGACGAGATTGGTTGGGTGTTTGGTCGTAGAAGAGAAGGGAGGACCTGGTGACAGGACACGCAGGACACTTACGACCCCCGAACATTATAAAATGCAATGAGAAGCGACAGATGCGTGGTGTTATATGGAGAGAGGAGTACATCGGTTACTTACGTTTAAGTATCTTACCATTTCTTCATTAATTGATGGATTTACTGTAATTGTATTTATAATAACTTCGGATACACTATAATATTGCTAATGTTGGTCACTGCAGTTTCTATTTAATAAGTAGAGACATTTTGAAACTTCATGAATTAAGTTTTACATTACAAAGAAGGCCAAGCAAACATAACATCGCACACCTAACTAACAAATATGGAAACGATTTTGGGCATAAAGGGAGCAGATTTCGTCATGCTGGCTTCGGATACCATGAAAGTGAAGTCGGTGATGTTGCTGGATGATGGTGAGTGGACACTTAGTTTCTTAGAGAATAATCTTATGGGTGATCCTACAGAAAACTCGAAGATCCATCGCCTGACGGACTATTCCATGTTGGCGGCCGTGGGTGACGGTGGCGATTCGCTGCAGTTCTCGGACTTCATCCTCCGGAATCTGGACCTTTACAGGGTGACCAACGGCTACGATCTAACCATTAGCGGAGCTGTTCACTTCACCCGCAACAATCTATCCGCTTACATACGGAGTAATGTGAGGTACTTGGTGGCCCTCCTGATCGCTGGATTCGATCCTTGCAGCGGTCCGGAGTTGCACTACATCGATCCGTTTGGCTCCTCGGTTCCCATCCGCTACGGTGGCCACGGATCGGGCATCAACTTTTGCACTCCCATTTTCGAGGAGTTCTACAAGCCAACCCTTGATAAGCGGACCGCCTACAATATAATCCAAAAATGTGTGGCCGAAATCCAGAAGCGACTGGTGATCAACTTGCGCAACTTCGATGTGTTCGTAATTGGCCGAGAAGGCATCACTAAACTGGATCCCATTAACCAGGTGTCCTTAAGAGCCCAACTGATGGGCAATCCTCCGACAAGAAAATAATGCATGAAATAATAATCGAAAAACATATTCTCTATTCTTGTTTTTCGTTACTCAAATTTAATAAAATTGTTTTATATTCGAATGTGGTTGTAGTGTATTACAGAAGTCGATTCATTTTTAAAAGTTCCCTAGTTGCTGCATGTAATAGAATAATTAAAAAAAGTATTTCACGAATTGACCCCAAAAAAGGTGTCCTTTTTCCCAAGTTTTGGCTAAAGCCTGCTGCGTATATTCGACCCTCTACAGCCGGATAATAACTTAATTTGCCAGTTAATAACCCGTGGCAAATGGCACAGATAGGTGCTATAAAATGGTCAACCACCTGGCAGTGGTAAACCAGTGAAAGAAAATTAGGAAGACGGCATGAAGCGCAGCAAGACACCAAGGAACGAATACTTCCGATACCAGGTGCTCCTCTGGCGAATCGTTGGAGCCTTGGATATCAGCGAGGGGAACTACTGGAGTTGGGCGATGCTGTTGAACTTCTTTGTTTATTTTTCAACGGTCCTGCTGATAATGTCGCTGTTCAGCTACGAAAATCCGATAGATAACTTCAGCCTTACGATCATTTCGTTTGCGACGCTCGTAAGGTTATTGCTGTACGCGGCCCAACTCACCAAACTGGTCGAGATCGAGGAGCTAATTGGCCAACTGGATGGCCGAGTTTCTGGGAATGATGAGGTAGTCCACCATCAAAAGATGACCAAGCACATGGATAGGATGTCCAAGCTGTTCCTGGGATTATACGTTTCCGTCACTGTGAACATAGGGATTTCGTTTCTTTTGAAGAATGAGAGGAGTTTGCCATTGCCCATGCGGGTTCCCTTCGACTGGGAAAACTCGATGGCAGCTTATGTTTGGTCGTTGTTTTTAGAAGAAATTGCCATATTCTTTCAAGTCATGGGAAATTTTGCTGGGGACTCCTTTCCACCCGTAGCACTGGGCCTTGTTTCCGAGCAATGTCAGTTGCTGAGCCTGCGCATCTCAAACCTCGGATATGGTTCGAAAACCCTTAAGGAAAATGAGGAGGACCTAGTGAACTGCATCGATGACCAGAACACACTCTACAGGTATTTACCATACATGTATCATATATATAATTGTAATACTTTATTTCCCAACCAGCTTATTACGGGTGATCCACAGCTTAATTTCCTATCCCATGCTGGTACTGATATTTGTGAATGGCATAAATATTGCGATTGCCGGTTGTGCCCTAGTTTTCTATGTGGAAACCTTGGCGCAACGCGTTTACTACGTGTGTTTTCTGCTGGCCTTCGCCATGCAGACATATCCGCTGTGCTATTATGGCACCATGGTGAAGGAGAACTTCGCGGAGCTCCACTATGCGATCTTTTGCAGCAACTGGGTGGATCAGAGCGCCGTCTTTCGAAGGAACATGCTGATCCTGGCGGAGAGGACCAAGCGGGAGCAGCGCCTCTTCGCCGGCGACCTGCTTCCCATCCACTTGAGCACCTTCATGGCCTGCTGGAAGGGAGCCTATTCCTTCTTCACCCTGATGGCCGACAGAAATGCTCGGAGCTCTTAGAATCCGAATAGTAGTAGTAGTGATTTCAATCAAATATCGACAAATCAACTAGTAGCACAGCACACGGACAGCCACACCAAACACACACTCAAATTGCACGGTATAACTATCACTTAATTCAAATTTATTGTAACCATGGCGATGGAAACTATTTTGGGGATTAAGGGACCCAACTTTGTGATGCTCGCTTCGGACACGATGCAGGCTAAGTCCCTGATTTTTATGAAGGATGGTAACTATGTGCCTTACTTAGAAAAAGATTGCTTTAAAAATAAATATGTTTTTAACTGAATTACAAATTTGTAAAAGAACTAATTATTTTGACACTGATTAAATGGAATCGTTAAAGGAAAAGCCTTTCTTAATAATAATTTATTCACTTCATAATATATTTTTAAAAACACTATTCTTTTTTGAGATTTTTTACTCTTCACAACCTTGTTTGGTTTATATTAACTTGTTTGTTTGTGCATTTAGATCAGTCGAAAATACACCGACTCTCGGACTTCAATATAATGGCCACAGTGGGCGATGGGGGCGATACCATTCAGTTCACTGACTACATCTCCAAGAACCTGCACCTGTACAAGATTGCCAATGGATACCACCTCAGTGCCAAGGCAGCGGCTCATTTCACGCGCAAGACACTGGCGGATTACATAAGGACGAACACCCGGTACCAGGTGGCCATGCTGCTGGCAGGATTCGATGCCGTCGAGGGTCCTGACCTGCACTACATCGACTCCTATGGCGCCGCTCAGCCCATCAACCATGCAGGACACGGTTGGGGCAGCATGTTCTGCGGCAGTATCCTGCAGAGATTCTGGCACTCGCAGCTCACCGAAACGGAGGCCTACTCCCTGATGAGGAAGTGCGTCATGGAGATCCAGAGGCGCCTGATCATCAACCAGCGCAACTTCGAGGTCTACGTGGTGGACAGCCAGGGAATGCGCAAGATGGAGGCCATCAATCCAGGATCACTCAGCAAGGAGGCGATTAGCCTGTGCTGGTAGAGCGGGAAACATTTAAATCCTCGGCAGCCCAACATCCTCTAATTCCTAATAATTGTGCCGTTGCTTTTTCGGCAAACTTTCACTGCGATGCTCGAACAATTTCCCAGGGATTAGTTGACGTGACCCGCTCGGATTTGAGTGGAAGTGGGTGGGAGTGATGTTAGTGGGCTGGTACATGCCATGGTCGACTGCCTCCGTGTATTAGCATATGTGGCCTGCTCTTGTTCTCCATGTGAGCCATCTGTCTGAATGTGGGTGGCTCTGTGTTTGTTTGCGCAACAATGACAGAAGCTGTACTTGAAAAAATATAGTGTAATTTGAGGAATCTTTAGCAGCTAAAAAATATCATCAAATCATATTTTAATATCAAAGAACCCACAACCAAATATAAATCGTGATTTCATTGGTCTAACTACATAGTACACATTTCCCCATTTTGGATATATGATCTTTTACTAGAAATATTGTAACATTTTTAGCTCAAATATGGAAAAAATGCTTCTATATTTTGAAAGCAAAATATTGCAATTCTAAAACGAATGCTGATTCAAATATTTAAAGTATGGATATCAAGTTTTCTTTTATGATTTTATAATTTCTCAATTTTCTCACAGTGCATCCTTCACATATATGTAACGTCAACTGCTGCGAATCGGAAGCAGAAAAGCCAACATGTCTCTATTTCCCATTTGAACAGCAGTCCGTCTGGTGGTCGTTGGTTTGGCGAAGTGGGGAGTCGTCAGCAGAACTCATAAAAATGAGCACAGATTGCTGCAAAAATGCACTGCCATTGTTCGTTGCTTAGTTGAGTTCTGAGTCTATGGTTTTCGAGCTGCCCCGACAGCATTTTTCCGGATTTCTATGCCAGCCAGCGGGTTTTGTTTGTCTGCCAGCCGTGGCAGTTGCCATTGCTAATTGGCCGCACATGACAAAGTATCGCCAATTGAGTGGCTCGCCCACTTGCGGTGATCGGAACCGTGAAATGTCAACAGTGACAAAGGAAATGCCGGTGGTCATGGATACGAGAAAAGTCTGAATTGACAAACCGTCTTTAAACTTTGCAATCACCTCACAAAGATGAAGAAATAACCAAGAAAGTCTTAGGCATATATTATTACATCTCAAAAATGTGTAACAGCTATGTTTCGAAATCATAACAACATTCTTTTCCTCTAAGTATTTTCTGTAAATTGTAATATTATTTTCTGTGATTTGATTTTATTAATGCTTCAATGCTTTAATTTATAAAAATTATCTTTATTTATTTGTGCATCCACATAGAAAGCCATTTTGAATATTTGGTTTTTGCACAGCACCTAAAAAGTGTAGCCATTAGAAATTAATTGGCAATTTAGGCAATAGTAAAAAAATAGTAAAGGGTGAAAAAAGCCATCAGTCTCATTATGCATTTACATAAATAAATACAAATTTTACAGTCAGTAAAAAACCAACAAATTATCGCTTATTTATATGGCTATCCTTTTCCCCTTTTACTCGTAAGTTTTCCTGTCGCACTGAGAACTTTTCTGCAGGAAAACTTTTGACATGTGAGCGTCTCAAATGAACGCGCCTGTCTCAGGACACCTGTCTCTCCCTTTTTTTTTCCACCTGAAGCTGTGAAATATATTCACATCCTTGTAGGGGGAAAACTTTGGTGGGGGGGATGGGGGAAGGGGAGATAATGTGCATGTAACCCTCGAGTCACTCCCCCATTTGCCACCCACTCCCCAGCATTCCATCCCGCAATTTGTGACGTTTAGGGACGCAACGAGGCAGCGACTTGCTGACAGGACATTAACTTTCTCGCATCTTCGCAGTCGCCCCATTCGACTGTCTCGCTGTTTGCTGTTTGCGTGTGACGACTCTGATGATGATTCATGATGATGATCCTTGCAGTTTTCCTCGCTGTCATTTTTCATGGCCTTGAGGGCGGTTGGGGGCGTGGCTTGGCTTAGTTGCCTTTTTCGACAGCCTATTAGTTTTTATTATTTGCTGCAATTAGTTTTTTGGCCTCGACTGCTCGTCCTCTCAGCTTTCTTCGCTTATGACACTTCTCTGCACATTTTTCAAAGGAATGAGCGTCATCTGTTGCCGCCGGCTATGTTTTGCAGGATACACTGGAAGAAAATTAATTTAAAACAAGAAAGGAAAGCTAACTTCGGGCGGAGCCGAAGTTGATATACCCTTGCAGAATACTCTGTAAATTATATTTTCCAAAATTATTCATATGATGCATTCTTAATACTCATAAAAAATCCCAACTTCGTAACTTTAAAAACACAAAAGTTATGGCATTTCCGATCAATCAGTTATATGGCAGCTATAGGATATAGTCGGTCGATCCTTATGAAGTTTGGTAGGTCGGATTGATTGGCCAAAAATAAAACCCATAGAAAATCCCAACTTCCTAACTTTACAAACACCAAAGTTATGGCATTTCCGATCAATCAGTTATATGGAAGCTATAGGATATAGTCGGCCGATCTTTATAAAATTTGGTACGTCAAATTGAATGGCCAAATACAAAACACATAGAAAATCCCAACTTCCTAACTTTACAAACACCAAAGTTGTGGCATTTCCGATCGTTCAGTTATATGGCAGCTATACTATATAGTCGGCCGATCCTTATAACATTTGGTACGTCAAATTGATTGGCCAAATGTAAAACCCATAGAAAATCCCAACTTCCTAACTTTAAAAACACCAAAGTTATGGCATTTCCGATCGTTCAGTTATATGGCAGCTATAGGATATAGTCGGCCGATCCCGGCCGTTCCGACTTATATACTGCGTGCAAAGGAAAGAAGGGTGTGTGCAAAGTTTCAATTCGATAGCTTTAAAACTGAGAGACTAGTTTGCGTAGAAACAGACAGACGGACAGACGGACAGACAGACGGACAGACGGACAGACGGACATGGCTATATCAACTCAGGAGGTGATCCTGATCAAGAATATATATACTTTATAGGGTCGGAGATGTCTCCTTCACTGCGTTGCACACTTTTGACCAAATTTATAATACCCTCTGCAAGGGTATAAATATCGTATCTCCGTAGATTACATGGTTGTGGCAAGGACCAAATTTAAGAATACAAGGTTCAGTTCTTAGGCATTATTATAAAGATTATTTATTGAAAACAGTTTTTAAAATTAATTTTGACAATCGTCCCATTTCAAATGAAAAGCCTTTCAAATAATGGAAATTATTATCAAATAATTACTTATTTTATTAGTTTGAATTCAACCTAAATTGCTTTGCATTTTAAAAGTTTTACTGATACAAATTTTCTTAAAACTTTTTCCCCAAGTGCAGCTGCTGAATCTGCTGTTTTTCTCGCCGGCATTGACAAGAGCCAAACAATGACCCGCTGGCAGGCTGGCTGGTATCTATGATAAATTATGGCCAAAAGTCAAAGTCATCAATCAGTGGGCCATGTTTTATTTGCCGCCCGCGGCCATTTGCCATTTGTTTCGGGCCAAAACCGGTGGCATATGCAGCTGCGGGGAGGTGAGTCTCCCCTCGCCGCTCCAGAGTGGCCAAAAAAGGATTAAATATAATTCGTAGATGCGTAGACGACGGACCAGGTGTCGGTGGCCGGGCGACAAGCATTTCGATTTAATTTTCATTAAAATTCAGGCATTAAATATGCAAAGGGTAAACTGCGGCCACGTCCTTCTGCCCGGCCAAAGCCCATTAAAATTCCTTAAAGACTCCACCGGCGGGGCCAGGTGACTCCTTTTCATTCTCGAGTGCTTATTAAAATTGCAAACGCCCAGGATTTGCGGACATTATGATGCGGTGGCTGCGAATTTATTCCAGAACGGTCGACATCAGCTGCGTTTTCGTTTCTCGGCTGTTTAATTATGCATTTTTATCTGGAAGTCGTTCTGGGCCAAAGGCCAAGCCGTTTTTGGTACGAAAAGGTAAAACCTCTGCCACTTGAGGTATGAAAACTGCAAATCAACGGGGTAAGCCAGGAATAGCTGTACTGGGGCGTGAATAAGCCGAGGCTTCTAGTTGAGTGACAGATATCCACCAACATTGCGTATACGCAACTTTTGATTGAAAGAAAAACATCCACGTGTCTGTGTATCGATTTGCTATCGCTTGAGCCTGGGTATTGATGTCGCCACCAGGAGCATCGTGTATCCCGACAATTGACAACTAAAGTTGCAATTAGGAGCTGTGGCAATCCTTTTCACCCTTCACCAACGCTCCATTTTCAACCTCCGCCGCCACAGGATTACCGAATAACAAGAAAGGAAAGCTAACTTCGGGCGGAGCCGAAGTTGATATACCCTTGCAGAATACTCCGAAAATTATATTCTCCAAAATTATTCATATGATGCATTCTTAGTACTCATCAAAAATCCCAACTTCCTAACTTTAAAAACACCAAAGTTATGGTATTTCCAATCGTTCAGTTATATGGCAGCTATAGGATATAGTAGGCCGATCCTTATGAAATTTAATAGGTAGGATTGATTGGCTAAAAATAAAACCCATAGAAAATCCCAACTTCCTAACTTAACAAACACCAAAGTTATGGCATTTCCGATCGTTCAGTTATATGGCAGCTATAAGATATAGTCGGCCGATTCTCATGAAATTCGGTAGGTCAGATTGATTGGCCAAAAATAAAACCTATAGAAAATCTCAACTTCCTAACTTTACAAACACCAAAGTTATGGCATTTCCGATCGTTCAGTTATATGACAGCTATAGGATATAGTCGTCCGATCACGGCCGTTCCGACATATATACTGCGTGCAAAGGAAAGAAGGGTGTGTGCAAAGTTTCAGTTCGATATCTTTAAAACTGAGAGACTAGTTCGCGTAGAAACAGACAGACGGACAGACAGACGGACAGACGGACAGACGGACATGGCTATATCAACTCAGGAGGTGATCCTGATCAAGAATATATATACTTTATAGGGTCGGAGATGTCTCCTTCACTGCGTTGCACACTTTTGACCAAAATTATAATACCCTCTGCAAGGGTATAAAAAGGAAACTTTTTACGAGAACACCTACACGCACTCGGACGGATGGAGGTTTTAGTTATGCAGGGGAAATGCCTTGGGGAAATTAGCGAAAAAAGGCAAATGTTTTACGGAAACCTTCGTTCTAATACCTTTGTTTTGGGCACGAAGTTTATGGCACCCAGTTACATCATTTAAAAAACCTTTAAAGAACTCCATAAAATAACGAAATGGGGCTTTTTACAAGTTACGTTTTAAGGTGTTCTTATATTTTATGTAAATATATCTTTTTGAATCTAAAGGAATATAATTTAGATTAAAAAGCTTTGCGAGGGTATTCCAAGCCTCGATTTTTAAGCTGCCATCTAGGTTGTTGTCTGTAAATGTCAAAAAAAAGTATCTATTCTCATGGGATTAGCCCTCTGCCAAAAACTGATACTAGTATTACAGACGAGTCACCAATAAGCGGCATATAAATCAGGCACTTGGCCAGCGATCGCGTCAATATTCGCCTCTTATGCAACCAATTTTATTTCGTTGCACTCGACGGGCATAAATCAGGACTTTTCATTGCTGAAAACGGCAGGAAATTGGGTGAGGATGCTGTTTCTGCAACAAAATGTCCCGGCATTAAACACCAGCGATGGCGTAATTTATGGGGATGTCAGGATTCCAGGCTCGCGATGCCCGGAGACAGATGTGACATCAGCAGTGACCATCGTGACATTAATGCGACCCTCCGGGCGTGAGCTTTCCGATGCTAATGGATTGCCATCGTGGAATTAAAGAGAACGTCTCTGTATGAATTTTAGTGTCTCAGACAAGGCTATGCAACACTCCTTTGCTATTTGGTAAGGCAATTTAAAAAAGCAACCTTATTTTGCTATAAAGACATTTCTTAATCGATAAAAAGTCTATCATGAAGTATCATTTTCATTAAATAAAACCGTGTTCTAACTAACAAACCGTATGCTAACTAACATACAAAACGTTTTCCGAAAGTTTTTCTAGCCTTAATATTAAAAGAGTTATAATGAGATGTAGGTTATAAAACTCTGGATTTTCCAGTGAGTGCTCTAAAATATTTTTTCATCTCCTTCGACAGTTGTTAAGCCAACATTTTCACGCGACCATTGTTCGGCTAAAAAGTTGGTATGTGTCCATTGGATGAAGTCCCTTTCCTGCCAACCATTGCAAGTTGATAATCCCTCTGCTCGGGCATCTCCACGCACTGCAGTCGAATAAAAAATAAGGGGACGGCGCATAAAAAGTTGCAGTTAAACTTTTCAGCATTTGTCAGAGTCAGAGGATTTGTTTGCCTTTGGGGCTGGCCAACGCCAACATCCTGCTGGCATCCTGGGCCTGCTCCTTCGAAGAGTATGTATCTGGCCCCAATCCCTTCGCTCCACTCCCCTCCGCTCCGTCTGTTTGTTTGTTTGTTTATTTTGCTCGTTGGTCCCACTATTTGTTTTCTTTCCAATTTTGTAATTTCAAACTTTTTCTATTGATTTCTTGGCACGCATGAACACCTTCAGCAGAAACGACAGCCGGCAAAGTTGCCAAGTTCCCTCGAGAAGGGGTGGGGATTCAATTTAAGTTGCGGGGACTCCCCCATGATGACCATGCGTGGCAGCAGTGTACACACAGGAAAAAGAAAGAAGTCCATAAAAATACAAAAACAAAAAAAAAGGAGAAGGAGAAGAAAAAAACGGAGGACGAGTGAGAAAAGTTTCCAATGCACTTAACACTCTGTTTCGCAGGCGATGGATGGAATCGAGGAAAAACTGTCAGTGGCATTGGCAACACATTTATTAATGTGTCAATCGGATTGAAGACTTTCCAAAACCAACGGAAAACGATAAAGTTTTTAGTCAGAAAAAGATCTCTGGTTGGGATAACGAGTTTTTTTTTGGGACAAATTATAAAGAGTTTTCGGAAAACGCTTGACAATTGCTTCTCTTTTCAGTTTAGAGTTGATTAAAGAAATCTTCTACAAATGACTGTGGGGATCTTATCTCCTGCCATGCACGTATTAATCAATTTTCCAGCAAAAATGGAAACATTAGGAGGAACAAAATGATTATACGACCCGTCCCCAAATCCCAGAACCGAAAGCCATTACCTTTCCAATTCCCAACCGCAAAGGAATTGTAATTATTCGAATTGTTACTCGTCGCTTGCCTAATGACTATTAGCTAAATGAAAACATTGCGTGCCGGCGACATTTTATTCGAGTGCACCACTAACCACCAACACCCCAAAAAAAAACCATTCCGCCCCAGAGCTTTATTCGCTATATTTCATGCCTGCCTGCACTTATCTCCGATTGTCCATCGGGTGGGTCGAAAAACCGCCGACTGACTCCGGCAAATGTAATTTGGCTTGGCCGGCGCGCTTCGATCCCACTTTATGTTCTAATTACTTGCACAACACAAAAACGCCACTTCAATTTGAATTAGAATGAGTGGCCACCGCCGCCTGCGGAGGTGGTTCCGCCCCCATTCCGCCCCCATTCCGCCTCCAATCCGGTTGAACCCTTATCCTGGCCACAGTTGGCGCCACAACTTTTAATTACAGCAGCACAAAATTGCAGATGCAGTGCCGCGGTCCCAAGGCCCCACTTTCAATTCCATTCCCATTCCTAGCCCAATTCCTATGCCTATTCCTATTCCTATTCCTATTCGAAATCCCCAGGCCCCGAAACCCCAAATCCAAAAAGCATATTAATTGCGCACTGCGTAGGCGTCGCCTGTAATGGTCTATAATCGATTTAAGCACGGGCATTATGTGGGCTAGGGTCTAAATTGCAATTTCGTGTATGACAAATGGGTTTTCGGCTTTCTGAAAATTACACTATGAAATATTCAGCATAAAAATTGAAAACGACATGGCCAAACTCAGAAATTATTGTAAGCATATTTAACACTTAATCAGCTTTAAATTCATTTAGTACATAGTGTATAAAAGGGGTTTACCTTATGGAAATTAATCTTTTTATTATTAATTTTTTTATTTTAAATTTTTGAATCATACAAAAATAAAGTAAAATGTTTCAAAATCAAAACAGTTACTCTATAAATTTGTGTAGTGTATTATCTGATTTTGTGGAATAGGCAGGACCAAGCCAATGAAGTTTAAATCGAGCAAGCTTAAAAGCTATCTTTGCTTGTTTTCTGCACAAAGGAAAAAGCCAATCGATATTTGGCCATTCGGGCAGTATCTTGGCTGTACATCTTTGGTTATTTGATTATTTGGTTATCTCTCACGGAGCTGAAGCTACCTTCCAATTAGAAGCTGTTGCGCGTAGCAATTGACCATCAAAGTCAATCTGTCTGAGAAAGTGTTCTTCCAATCTGCATGCCCACAAGTGTGTGGGTAGATGGGATGGTGGTTTTATGGGTGGATCGCTCTGATATATGGAGTAAGCCACCCAGGGCTCGTTATTGTTGCCGCTGGCTTCGCCGTCAATTGCAGCTGGTGGTGGCTGCACCACAAAATTCAACGCAATTTGTAAAATGAAATCGATTCAATTGATTGTTGACTTCGACAAACACACACACACCCATGGATTGTATAACCCCCACACACACACAGACACACACACATATATAAATGGCAGGACAGAACAGGACCATCATCCTGCAATTGTGGGTGGAAGGTGGAGCAGGGCGACGATGGTGACAGGTGTCTGAGGGTGGACGTGTTCATATCCTTGCTTGTCGTCCTGCCATACATATATACATATATACACACACCACGCGCGTGTGTGTGTGCACTGCACTTTGCTTGATTAAATTTCAATATTTACTAAAATGTCGCCGAACTCTTTCTGACAGCTCTGTAAATTTCATAACCGGAATCGACATAAAATATGGTCAACTGGGTGTAAATATAAGCTTGACAAGCGCATAAGTTGACTCAAATGGCTTCGCTTTTTTCATCCAGTGCCTTTGTCGCTGGTAATTTGTTATAGTTTGTCATGCGCTCACAGCAACAAATGGGTTATAACCATCTAGATTTTATGACTAACTGATATGCGGGCTTTGTAAAGGCATCAGATGGCCAAAGCAATTACTCAGCGAAATGAAAGATGGGATTAACGCTTTGCTTTTGCCAATCAGGGTGATTCATTTGCATCCATAATTCCGAATTATAAAAATAAATGAAGAAATATTTCATCAATTATTTATTCATTCGCTGATTGATAAATAGGAGGTAATAAAACTTAATGGTCGAATGACAATTCCTTTTGTATTGCATTTCAGGTCGCTAATTAATTCATTTTTTATGTGGACCATATTTAGTTAAAAAGCAAATAAAGTAAAATAAAAATCAATTAAAAATATATTGGATTTCAGGTACCGTAATAAATGATTTTTATGGAGACAATACTTTAAAAAAATTAAAACTAAAAAATCCCCTTAAAATAGTTTCAAATATTATTTTACTGAAAGTGACAAAGATTTTAAGAATTGAGCTTTAGTTTTGCTTTAGCCTTCACAATGAGTTAGTTATACATATTGATCATTCTGAATAACAAATACAAACCAAAAACTACCAAGAGTAATCCCAAAAAATAAAATTAATATTAAATGGATCCTATAATTAATAAATTCAAGCCACTAGATAATGAGTGAGTTGTTAAGCATTTTCCCTTAGTTTGGTCTTATTTGTTTAAAAATAACAGAGACGACAATAAAAATGGCTGCCCAAAGGACGAGGAGAATTGTGATGACAAAAGGTCTAATCTGGATAAACTTTTTGAAAAACTGTACCCAAAGCAACGTAATTGCGTTAAGGAAGAGTTGAGTATTAAGCAATCCAAGCTGGGAACTAGTGACTCCAATTGGGAATTTTATAAGAATTTTTTTATCAAGAGCCCCATCGATTTTTCCTGGAAAAAGGCCTTTGAGAAAGGTAATCTAAAGGGAGAGGACTTTGACATTGACTATGAGAATATATTCGAAGATGTGGGCAAACTGACGGAGGTGGAGAAGCAGCTGCAGTTGCTCTACAGACCCTTCACCTGTGTCATGGATGTCGGTTGCCGATTCAATATGTACGAGCTGTGCTTGCTCATGATCGATTCCCGATACGATCCTGGTAGTCATCCTTCCCTCTCCGTGAAGGTGACCCATCCCAGTGCCCAAGTAAAGATCCATGCGGGCGGGACGATTGTGGCCACCGCTTTATCAGCCGATTCGGCCAGGTGCGCTCTGTTCAAGGTGGTTAGGATCCTGCAGGATCTGGACTACAAGGCGGACATGAAGAACTTCAGCAAGAACATCGTAAACGCCTCCTTCAGCATGCCATTTAAACTCGACCTGGAGCTGATGATCCGCCGGCATGCGGAGGAGGTGACCCACAACAGGAGCAAGCGACCCTTCATCACATACACCAACGATGAGGCAGGCGTGAGATTTGCCGTCTTTCCCACAGGATTCGTTTTGGTCCTTCACTCCACGAGCCACAGTGAAACGCGGGCAGCCATGGCCTCATTCCTGCCGATCCTGGCCAGGTTCAAGAATGGATATCCCACTGCAGTGGAGCAGCAGGGATTGCTGGTGGGGGATCTGTCGTATAAATTGGTGTGGGAAAGGCGGCTGGAGAAGGACAAGGAGGGCCTGTTGCTTTACTCTTGAGACATTGATTTTATTTTACTTTACAATACATTATTTTCAGATTTTAATTTTTACCTAAAAACGAAATTGCTGAGTAATAACTAATTTGGTTTTAATCGGAATGGAGATTCCCAGATACCATAAAACTGGTTATCGCTTTGTTTTGCCCTGCGAAATGTTGCGAACATTTGTCATAAACCAAAGTTCTGCACGTGCCCTGTTTGCACTAGCCTGCAAGTTGGGCAACTTGTTTAAATACGTGATTTATTCGCCAGCCAGCTGCTGAGCGACCACCGAACAACCAGTGACACTCCACTCCAACCAACCACTGGCTCTTTTCGGATGGTATATTATGGTACAGAGGGCCTACGCCCGGGGCCAAAGTTCCTCCAAACACTGGCAAAACAAAAACAAGAAACAAATGACCGAAGAAGTTGCAACTGCAACAGGCGCATACATAAATAACGAAACATTTTCGCACACTTGCCGCAACTTTCCCGGGAAAATGTCACATTATGCGGAACAAGTGGCCGCCTTGAACACGTTTCCGACGTGCCACAGCACCTTCCCAAGTGCTCCGGACTTTTCCCCACAACTTTTTGGGGGAAAGTATTACGGGAAGTCATACATTTCGTATTTACGTTATTACTACAAATGGAATGTACGGTGGGAAGCAAGCAAATTTGAAATCTGTGGAACAGAGGGGAAAATACATTGTTGTCTAGCTTTTAAAGTCAGTAAAAATGTAATTGAGATACAAATTGATGTATTATATACATAGGTTACTAATACATTTTTAAAATTTATAATTAATTACCACGGATATGTACTTGATCCCTATTTCCAGAATAGGGGCTGTAATTTCATTGTAAACTTTTTCTCATATTTTCAAGTCTACATCAAAACTTTGTTCATTAAATGTGCACATATCTTCAATTATCAGTTGGCTGGAATCTTCTGCATTTTATGCCCCTTTACAACAAGTTAGACAAAGTTATCACATGTACATAAGAAACTCTAATGTGCCAGGAGGTATCGAAATTGGTCAAAAAAAGATATTTCGATGGAAGAGCAAAATAATGCGCAATTTATCTATTTTCGATTGAGGTAGGCAAACTTCGATGCCCTTAAGCGCTTTTTGGCCAAAAATATGCTGAGAAAAAGCAGCTCAGAAAGTGGGGAGAAAACTACCGATACGATGATGTGGTTGGTGGCCATCGAGCAAGGGAATCCGATTAAAAAGTTGAACCATCAAAGTTTAAGAAAGGAGATGAGCGGGCTGGAGATTATGAATTATGCATTCTAGCCCAAGGACTTTTTGCTTCAAAGCTAAAAATTATCCACTCGCCCGGTAAACGGAAAGGGTTGCCTTTGAAGATTAGAAAAGTTTGCTGGGGATCCACAGTAACTGTTTTCGCATTTATAAGTGAACATAAACGGCATAAGTGGAGAAACCCTATTGAATTTGGAATGAAAAGGAAGAGGAGCACTCCACTTTCATATGGAATTAATAAACACTGTGAACTGTCACCGGAACTCTTGCCCATTCTCAATTTGTGTCTGCGGTTAACCGCAAAGATTTTACACTCGAAAAGGTGTCGCAAATGGACTTTTGCAATTTTAATAACTACTCAAAGTGGCAGAATGGTTCGTTAACTAGCCGGGCACACACACACACACACACACACACACACACACTCCTGCAGTTCTCCCAGCAGGTCCTGCTGCACCGAAGGACTTTTTGCATATTTAACCAACTTGAATTTAAATGAAAATTAATCCGAGACCAGAAGCTGCGGCTACCCGGGCCACAAGGCCACAAATGTGTTTGCTTTGAAAAATTCAACTGCAAACGAATGATTGCGTGTGGAGTTTTCTCCGCTCACGTAAATGTTTTAATTGTGAAGACAAAAAAAGGATTGGTTTACCTCTGTAAACCGAAAGGAATCGTTTTTGAATCAATATGAAAAACCAAAATTGTGTGTGCAATATACAATTCCCTGGAAGACTTACATTAAAGGTCGGGGCCCCCAAAAAATCTTTGGAATATTTTAAGGAATACTTTTAAATATATCCTTGCCCCTTGTCAATGAAATGCGTATTTCTTAGAATCGGTGGGGGTGAAAATACATAAATCTAAAATTCCAAGCGCCAATAAATTTTCATTTTGATAAACCCCCGTAAGCCTTTTCATGGCCAAAAACAAACTTCTGTGATTTATGAAGTCCTCTGTTATTGCCCGACTCCTTGGGCAATAAAACACAGAAGCCCATCACTGCCATCTATGGACACGATACAAAACTTTTGCCTTACACCGCCCCCTCATAAGTACTCCGATTTTAAAGACTAAAAATAAATATGAATCACTAATCTTTACGAGGCGAACGAGTGTTTTTCTGACAATAAAAAACCTAAAAGTTTTCTCGCAAATAAACCAAAGTGTCGATGCATATTATTTTTTTAGTGTTTCTGGGAAAGAATTCGCCGATAAAAACTGTTCATCTGTTAATACAATTTTCATAAAAATCAACGATTTAAATTACAATAACATGGCATTCGTTGGCCATTCGGTCACAGCTTGCTCTGATGTAAATCCATAAACAAAATGAGACATGTTCGCCCTCTAATGTTGCTGATTTTCGCCTGCTGGGAGGGTTATATCCGTTTAACGATGGGGGACATGTCATCATGCCCGACATTTGCGTCAGCTGGCGATCAAAGTCAAATTAAATTGGAACAACTTTTCGATGTCACATATTGCGCATAGAAAATGATGGCTGTGAACAAAAAGAATTGGTTAGTGCCAATTATGGACTTTTTTCTAGAACGTGACCAAATAAATAGCGAAAATAACACATGTGAGCTTACAAAGAACCCAACCACTTTTTGGTATAATTTAGTTAATGGAAAATACAATCCCATCCTAATCCCCTGATTGTATCGAAATATATTCACAAACGCATCTATCTAATTTGCATTTGCATTAATCGATTGACTTTGGGCTTTATTCATTTATTAATGTGTTAATTAGCTTAATTACTGCACTGGCTAACACTGCGTATGCGCGATATCTAAGCCCTTGACTTTTTTTATTCCCGAATTCAGTTGTTTAGAGAATGTTGACTGCTCCATACAAACTAAAAAGGCATATTTATATATGCTTTATTAAGGGTGCTTCGCTATGTGTTTACGGCATCTGTTGTTTGTTTGATTTGGGCTCATTTCGATATGTTATGGAAACAGGAAAGCTAAAAAAGCATCACACCTGCTGGCAATGGATAGTTCTCGCTGTGTGTTTGAAATTGGGCTTACTTTGTATGGAGATTCCCTACACTTTGGTGGGTTATAGCCTAATTTACTATTTCTTTATCGGAGATTCGAGCAACTTCACTGAGAATCTTACGTACTACTGGGTGCACTTGGTGTCACAGATTGCGATGGCCACTATATCCACTCTACAGCTTCTGCTATTGACCCACAGCTCATCCTTCAGTGGTCTCCTCATATCCATAGTAAATCGTGTCCTTCAGATGCATCGCATAGTAAGGAGTTGTTTTGGGGATAAACAATTATATTCGGATGAGTCGCTTGTTCTGATTTTTCTACTCAAAATTGTACTTACACTTCACCATATTTTTGCACAATATACGCCTCACGGAAAAGTAATGATTAGTGTTCGATATTATACCGTGAATGTGATTCTCTTTGAGTTGTTCTACTGCTCCTACTTTCTATATCAGTTGTTATTTTTAAGCTGGCAGCGAACTTTAATTGCCTTTCTCGAATCCTACATTGAACTTGTTAATAGTCGTCGTTATCCCAGTTCATATTACTGCCGTAAGCTAATAACAGTCTTTGATATCTACACTCAGATGGCAGACATTCATTTCCAAGTGACCAGAGTTTGGTTGAAAGTCTCCTCAATGCTATTCATCGGTATTTATTATACCGCACACGAAAGTACCTATACTTTATACTGTTTATTTGCTATGTCGGAAAAATCCATCATTGAACGAGTTCACTTGGTGATCCTTAAAAAACTGGGTACTTGGTTTTATCCTCTCGTTGCCATTTTGCTCATGGGAATAGCTAGTGATCGATTGAAGCACTTCGAGGACCAACTTAGCGAAAGGATCTTTCTCATCGAGCTTCTCCATTCTCCGGAAGATCATCACATCCTGCAACAGTTTGCCAGACTAATTAGTTGCAAGGTAAGTTTGAGAAAGAACATTCACTTGGTAAATAACTTTCTCATTATTTCGCAGCACCAAAGCCTTATGCTGCAGCAGCATTCCCATCCCATTCGGAATTTTATATGGAATAGAGGATCCACTTGCGATCGATATCTGGTCTTTGATATTTTAGTTTACCTTATCATCAATGCCACCACTTTTTTACAGTTTTTGATAAGTGACAATAACAGCAACTGCGAGGAAGGACTTTAGGGAATATATTGTTACTAAATACAAAAATAAATTATATTAGATCAAAAATATTTTAAATATATTTTTTGAATAATACCCCCTTTCTACTAAAAATTAGATTTCTTATGCCTCCATAAATTTGTAAGCATATTTTATATATAGTATGTTGTGAGTTGACTGTTTGAAAATTTCAGATTCATTCGATTGAAATCCTCAGTATCAATCATTCTTAAAAATTCTCTGTAGAATTCAGCACGTGTGTTCCGATTAAAATTGTTTTAAAAAAAAACTAAAGTATAAATGTTAGTTAAAATTTTTTCGGATAAGCCGGGTGAAGAGAGATGCGTTCAAATTCATAATGATATGAATATACTAGATGTCAAGGTTCAGTTGCAGCGATTCATTTTTAAGCAGCCAGAGTATCTACAGCTCAGGCATATGAACGTGGTTCTGGACAATGAAGTTGAGATATCGAAGGTGTGGCTGGCGATGTTGCGGGCTGGATCGGAAAAGGAACAAATCCTTATTTTCAACCAGAATGGGGACCAGTTGGAGTTCCGTTTGCAGCTTCTGGAAGACATGGGAGGGGATTCTTCGGACAAGAGCATGGATGTCACGTCCCTCAACCATTCCGGTTCGATGAAGACCTGCACTTCAATAGGAAAACCCTTTGGCTCGGGAGATAGCAAGGGGCCAAAGTGCAGCAAAGTTTCCAGCCAAAGCGATATTTCAACAGCAAGCAGCAGCTTGGAAAGCAGCAGCTCAGTAAGCAGCGACAGCTCAAATGGATGCAATATCCATGATCCCTGTGAGATCAAGTGCTGCATTCAGGAGGATAGAGTTCGTCCTCCATTTGCCAAGGTGATGCCAGAGATGAGGCGGTATGGGCTGGTCTTTAGCAACGACGAGAATCCGTGCGATTGCGACTTCAGTTGCATCCTAATCTTCCTGGTCCAACGGTTCCAGCAGTCCCATGAATCGCGTTCCCTCACCTTTAGCGAATGCACCTCGGTGGAGTCCTTCGATTGCAACCTACTGATCGTCTGCGAAAACGATGACACGAGTGACTGGATCCTGCGGGAAACACGCGCCATGTGCCCCCCCTACAAGTGCACCACCTTCCTGAGGCACTTCGAGTTGGTCAGGGTGTCCTTTGTGATTCCAATGGTGGTTAAGAAGAAACTGTGCAGGATATTTGGAGTCTTCGAGAAGCAGAACTGCAGCCTGGACACCAGTAAATGGTGTGTGATGAGCCAAACCCCTCTGGACCCCTGCAGCGAGGATTATCAATCGAAGGTGGTGTACGAGGGTGCGAAGCACGTGGAGATCATTGCCTACATTGACCAGGAGAGCGTGGATGTCATCAAGAGCAGGTGCTCCACGATCTGTTACCTTTTCTGGCATCTACGTGTGGATTTTTGCCCGTCAATAAGTTGTACCCCTTAATTTTAAAGGTGCACTGCATGCCCAGCTATCCCAACATAGAAATTCTCTGTGAAGTATTCCAAGACTTTGTCTCAATGAATTCGTTTTTATATACTTGTATCAATATGTACTCGTAACTATTTTAAAAGTTTAATATTTTTGAAAGATAAATATAAAAAATGTTAAAGTTGCAAACGCATTGGAATCTGTCCTTTGATTTCAGAAAATATGGGAACAACTGAGAATAAATATTTCTTTAAATTAACCGTTGAACATATTTCTATACAGAAATATCATTCATGGGGAATACCCTACTATAAATTTTCATTCAGCTGAGTCATCAATCAAGTCGTGGATAAATAAAAGAAATATCCCAAGTCATGATGCAATTAAATGTTTGAGTTAAATAGAGTCCGCCAAAGTAGAGTCCAATCAGTTCGAATTCGAGGGGCAACATGAGATCCTTGGAGCTGTTAACCCGTCGTTTCCTGGCTGGAATACTATGGATAATGGGCTTGGTGCCCCTGCCAGCGATTTCCCAGTTGCGATGGCTGTTCCTATCCCTGGCGATTCGGTGCTGTTGGATTGTTTATTTGGTGTATTTGCTGAGAGTTGGCTTCGGCTTTTCGCCGGCGGCCATTGAAAATGTGGGCAATGTGGTGGGCACTATGTTGTTTATGGGTAACTCAGTGTTGGGATTGCTGCTCCTGCTGGAAAGTGTAGTGAAGCAGAATACCCACTCCCAGCTGGAGAACCTGCGTTTCCAGTCGAAGTTGCAGCTGCAAAGACTTGGAATGTTCGGCCGACGTCGCCAGGCGGGATATCTGTTGCCTTTAATATGTGTCCAGCTCACTTGTGATCTCGTTAGAGTATCGATTAATGGCGGGGGATCAATATCACCTGTGTTTTCCATATCCCTGCCTTTGATGTGGCTCCTCCGGTTTCGCTATGTTCAATTAGTGCAGCATGTCATAGATCTCAAACAGCGATCCCTTCAGTTGCGAAGATCCCTGTTGTGCTTGGCTTCCGGCAACGATTTCTGGCAGCCCTATGGAGTCCACGAGTGCCGTCAGCTCCAGACCCTTCGCACCACTTATGAAAGGATCTTCGAGTGCTACGAGATGTTCAGCGACTGCTACGGATGGGGTATCCTGGGACTGTATCTGCTGTCCAGTTTCCAGTTTGTGACCAATGCCTTCTGGATACTCACGGGCCTTTACGAGGGCCAGAATCTGCGGGGCCTGGTCTTCAACGGAGCCACCGGAATCGACTTTGGCACTCCCATTGCCACGTTATTTTGGCACGGCGATTCTGGAGCTGAAAATGTAAGTAAAAGATATTTGAGCTAATTAGCTAGAACTAGAGTAAAACCTCATATCACTAATACCCCTTGTAAATTAGACAATCAATCAGGACTAAGCGAAGTTTCTGGCAAATCATAGCTAATTAACAATGACAATGATGGATTGGCATTTTGTCAAGTACATCTAGTGAATTTCCATCCAATTAATTCACTTTTAGTAATCATGTTTCCTCCGACAAGAGTACAAGTAGCCTCTCGAGCTGTCCTCAAGTTGTTCCACCTTATTTTAGTGGCATTTTGTCTGAGATCCAGTAGACTTCCTCGATGGATCCTTTGGTTACGGTTCTTGTGTTGGATGTGCTTCTTCATTACGATTTGGGCCCATAGTATAATTTATGGTCACAAGTATGACTGCAATATGGACTGCCTTTTGCGTCATATGCTCACATTTTTCCAGACTGTGTCACATGCAATTATTGTGGTTTGCAATTCCCTTCAGGGATTCAGAGTCCTGCAAAACCAAATGGAGGAGGTGATTGTGTTTGAGACCTCGGATCCTTGGGTGGCCTTCACTGTCATGGCTATGATACTGCCCATTTGTGGAGTTGAGTACTTGGTGTGTTCAAATGCACCAAAGAATTCGTTTCGCGTCAGGATGTATCACTTGAAAACGTTACCAAGTCACCTGGCGCTGCAAATGAAGATTATATTCTTTATCCTGGAGGTCATGGAGGTGAACATCAGGGTTCGCCAGGCCAAGCATCAGCTGCAGATCCTGGCCAGGGAGCTATCCAGTCGTTGGCCCCAATGCAAACAACGGCCGGAATATTTTGACCAGCAGACCTATCGAATTAAAGCCCTGAAACGGCGCTATAACGAACTCTACTATCTGTTTGATCGGATCAATTGCTGTTTTGGAGGAAGTCTCCTCACCATCATCATTGTTTTCTTTGCCCTCTTTGTGTGCAATTCCTATTGGCTCTTTGTGGATGTGAGAACAAGACCCCTAAGGATCTATGCCGTTCTCCTCAATTTGGGATTTATATTTAATGTGGCCCTGCAGATGTCGGCTGCTTGCTGGCACTGTCAACAAAGCTATAATCTAGTGAGGAGCTTAGGATAAATTATTAAATCTTTAAATCATCACTATTATTACAGGGTCGCCAGATCGGTTGTCTCATTTCAAAATTGGTGAAGCCACAGGGCAGCAAGCGGTACAATGATTTGGTGAGCGAATTTTCTCTACAGACATTGCATCAACGATTTGAAGTCACCGCCAAGGATTTCTTCAGTCTCAATCTGCATCTGCTCAGTAGCGTAAGTCCATCAAACTATACTGAAATATAAAATAATTAATCAAAACTCCATTCAGATGTTTGCAGCAGTGGTCACTTATCTGGTCATTCTCATACAATTCATGTTTGCTGAGCGGAACTCCAAGGGTAATTCAGGATGAGGATATAAAGTACTAAACTATTTCTTGACATGAAAAAGGTTTTTCAGCAAACCGAATTCCTTAATCAATAATTTATGCTTAGAAAATACATATATGTTTCACAACTTAATTCCCCGAACGGGTCTGCAAACCTAAATGAAACTATTTAAATGTTCAATGATTTAATTATGAAACACACATTCTCTCAGAAACATGCAAACTAAGAGCCTGTCTATCTTTGTCGCAGCTCTTATAAGTGTATAACCCTAATTATTTATGCCGCCCACGATTTGGGGGGAAAGCGGGTTGAGTTTTGGGCTGCTTGGGGGCTTGAGCTGAAAGTTAGATTGCGCAAAGTTTTATCTTCGTTTTTCTTAAGCGCATTTTACAAGGCGAAAAGGATGAGAAAGGATGCGGAGGCGGCAGCCAAACTACTTCACGCATATTAAACTGACATTTCACAAGCAGAAAACTTTTTCTAATATGCAAATTCATGGGAATGGTATGAAACAGCCGCACATCCTTGAATTAACACGTGCGAGTTCGCATTAATTTGTGTAAACTGGTGTTGGAACTGCTCGGGGTTACTCTGCAAAGGATGAGGATATGGCAAGGATCGGCATGTGCTCGTAGTGCTCGAGGAGCAGTTTTTGTCGTTAGCTATGCAAATACCCAGCCATGTAAATATTATTTACCGCACTGGCAGATGCTCAAGATGTAACTGTGCCGCCACTTCTAACCCAAATTAGCATATAACAACTGTAACAGTCGCTTATAAATATTTATGAGCCGCCTGGATTAGTACTACATTCTATGTACACTTTTTGCAGGTTAAACTACTCGGTTTTAGTCGGACAATAAAATAAGGCAAATGGAAAGCAGCATGTACGCTCTAATTGGTGGGGAAAGTAGAGTTACCTGGGTATTAGAAATAAATACTCTTTTTACCAACACTAGCTTTAATTTATATTATTTCGACCTAAGTTTGAAAAAATGTTTGTTTTTACTAATTGTTTTACTACTTAAACTATTCGATAGCAATGAACAATTGAAATTATACTACATAATGCAATTTCACATTAAAATACTAGTATAATAAAGGGTTGCCATGTTGTAATTATAAAGCTTGTATACTCTGATTTTCAAAGATTCAGCAGCGTAGAGAATGTTGAATTGATAAAATTTTTAAAAGTTAAATTTGCATCGAACATATGGCAATTACTTGACCAAAATTCAACGATTCAGCAATTCAATACTTCGGAGAATAACAAATCTAACAAGAACTAATCATCGAGCTAAACCTTTTTGTGTAAGTCCTTAACAACACTAACGAAATACCGAACCCTTCCCATCACTAACAATATTACAACACTATTTCTTTGATTGCCATAACTAGCTGTCAAAAAAGGACTATTAAACTTTATTCACAAGCTTAAATCGAAGTAATCATTATTGTTGAATTTTTAATAGCAATATTAAGTTATTAAGCCGTCAGGAATAATGGAAGCCAAACGTCTCTGGGAGTCGATGAAGCCACGCCAAGTTCCTTTATCGGAACCAATGGATGAAACGGAAGTCAAGTTAATTAGGGCCTTCAAGAAGAATCACTTTAAATACGCCCAGGATGTCTCGCAGGAGTTGGAGATTATCCAATCGAAGACCATCTGCATGAAGTGCCTGCTCTTCACCCACGTCTGCCAGGCCATCGGAAATCATGTGAAGGAATACGAAAATGAGGACGATGGCCATTCCACAGTGAGAAGATATTCTAGATAAAAAATATCGAGCTAAATGACACTGTGAAAAAATTCCTAGGAGAATGGCAGAAAGGATTACAAATTGACTGAATTAACCAATTCAAAATGAACCAGCTTTAAAGTTATTAATTGTTACATTGAATATTTTGAAGAGAATTTATAGAATTTATTATAATAAAATATATAGTCAATATAAATATCAAATTGATATCAAGGCTAAATAATAGATGAGTATTCAACAAGGTAACAAAACTTATAAACTACTTTTCAACTCCGTCTTAAGCGCTTATGCAATTGCCATTTAAGTTTTTGGGGGGTGGTTGCTAATTGCTTTTTAGTGAATTATTAGCCAATCCAACTTTCTGGACTAATAGAAACTTGCATGCATGAATATTTTATCCACTTTACAAACTGTTCAACTTTTTTGATGAATTCCCAATTTGAAGGAGGCTTTGTCTTCTCACACAGCCCCTGGCTACGAATCATTTTTCGGCATGTTGAGTGGAGTTTTTAAATATTCATAAAATTTGAACAGAAAGAACTTTCGAAATGAAATTAGTCAAATGAACAAAAGTTCATTTACACTCCACGTACGAGGTTTGGATGTCCATACTTACGGAATCCAATGTGTGTGGCAAAGCCAAGCCCTAAAAGTTGGAATAAATTACTAATTAATGCAGAAGTAGCCCATATTGGGTCATGTGTGTGGCTTTCATACCCCATCCCATAATTCAGGCCTCCATTTTATAGTACGCAATCTATTGCGAATTGTGGGTTCGTTGGAAAATATGGTTTTTCCCCGTTTCTGCAACGGACGCAGTGTGCGAAAGAGAAGTTGAAGTTTTATGCTAATTTTAGCCCTCCTTCTCCCTCTTTTGTCTAGTCTTCTGTCTCTCTCTCATCTGGATGAGCCCAGGACCTTATCTAGTTGTCGAGTCCTGTCAACACAAGGCATTACAAGGCAATTACCAATTTGTTTATGGCTCTGAATCGTCTCGTCGACTTGCCTTTTGGCCACAACACTCGTAGATCTATCTTCCCCAGCAAGATGGATATGGCCAACAGTACGGGTAACCTGAAAAAATAAATTAGAAATCACATTCAATCGAAAGGGAAATCCAGGTTTTCTGCATGCAATTGCTTTCTGCCTTTTCATTAGCAAAACCAATATAAATCTTAGCTCATTTCTAGTTATGGGCATTTCTGTTTGTATTTACGAAAACAGCTTTTGAGATAGTAATTGTCGGTAATTTAACTATTTGTCCTATAATTAGGAGATTTCACTATAATACCTGCAATATTCAAATGTCCAAAATGGGGTACTGACAATCATTTCCCACTTTTATTGTTTATTTTATAATAGTTATTTGAATTACAAATAAAAACCATAAAAAACAAAAGTTGAAATACCAAAAAATGAATTCATTTTAGGCTCTACGGTTCAATTTAAATGGCATATATTAAACAGCTGCGAAATAGGCACATTGCTGCTTAGGCTATTAGAATTTATGACCCACACCCAATCCCATATGCAATCATTTCCCAGCTTAATGTTCTCCTCAAACTTCTGATCCCAGATGAAGAATTTAATCAAGAACCACTCGAATTTGTTGGGGACACATGTACATATAAATGTAGTACACATGGCCCATAAGTCAAGCCTAATAAAATTCCACTCTGCCAAATTCGAACGACAAAAGTAATCTCCAAACTCGCCCAGCAGCACAAGTAAAAAGGCGGTGAGTGGGGTGAAAAAGTGCGTCACTTAAAACTTTTGCACTCACTTGACCAGAAACTTTTATTTTCTGTTAGCAAATTTCCCACGGGTAAACCGGAAAAGTAACAAAATGTATATGTAGCCGGGCGTCTTGGCGAGCAAAACTTTTTTCGTGTCCACAAATTGAAAATATTTCACAGTCATATTTAATTTTGGCAGCCCTCGGTCCAAACCGAAATCTCGGAGGTAATCAAAGATGGTTAGAAGGTCAGGGGATACGTGCACTTAATTACTGGGGATGCTAGAGTACCAGCAACCGATCCGGCTTAAATTTCAACATTGTTGACTCGTCACGGGGCAACAAAAATGGAAAAGTCTACGACAAAGGACGAATAATGAGCGACGGGAAAAGGGCATACGGAAAAAAGAGGAAAAACTAAATAAATAATTCAGTGTAAAATGTCAGGAGCACTGGGAGCGATGGCCAGGACAAAGAAGATGTCTCAGGAAGTCGTCGTCGTCGTCGTCTTTGCCTCTGAGATGCAGTCAAGGAAGCAATTGTATTGTCTGACTGCTGTTTTCCACTTTAGTTTGCCACGCCCCAATCTGAGGCGCCACCCACCGCCCAACACCTCCGCCATCCGCCCACTGGTAACTTGTTGACGTTGATAGTCGTACGTGCCGAAGGTGAATGGCATCTGTGGACGCGAAATTGAATTCGTGCCTGGCAGTCCCCTTGTCCGCCCACCTGGATTGAGTCGCACGGGGAACTCCGGGCTGGGTGTTCCTCGATAGGATGGCCAGGATGTGTCAGGTGGCTTTACCTGCTGACTTCAATATTTTGTCGCATTACGTTGACAATTTAGATGTTTGTCTCGCGCATTCTCGCAGGATTCAATTTGGAGCGAATGCAGCCCGTCAGCCAGCCGGGGGAAATCTGCAAAGTTAACAGTAAGCCGGTAAGGGATAACTAGATCTGGAAATGGGTCCCTCCACACGGCGATGGCAAGGGACCATGCCAGTCCCGCCCAAATGCGAATGCTTACATAAAAATCAGTTGACTATGGCCTGGCCCAGCCATTCATTAGAGTTGTAACGTCCCTTCTAGCCAAGCAAATCTTTTTCACAACAATGGGAGTTTATAGCTTAGGTCTTGTCTTGGGGCAGCGATTTTTCAATGCTCTACCAGTTGCTATCCCATGGGATTTTTTTTTGACAAACACGAAATGCACCAATGTTTGCTTTACTTCTTGTTAGTATATTTAATAGCATATAAAACTACTCAAAAGAAGTAAAACTGAACTGTATATACCATTGCAGATAAAGAAGTTTAACAGTGGGTCACATTTTCTCATTTCATCGCAGATTTTTAGAGAATGAAACCAGAAGTCTTTAGAGATATGTCACTTTGAAATCGGATTAAATTTGGTAAAGTTATGGACTCTGGAAGTCCAATTGGGGGACTCCTCATTACTAGTCATTGGAAACTTGGAAATAACTAACATGAAAATGGGTCAAAAATTTGATCAAGGGTAAATTGAAAATTTTGAATGCAGTTTTTTAGAGGATGAAACCACAAGTCTTTAGAGGTATGTTACTTTGAAATCGGATTAAATTTGGTAAAGTTATGGACTCTGGAAGTCCAATTGGGGGATACCTCATTACAAGTCATCGGAAACTTGGAAATAACTAACATGAAAATGGGTCAAAAATTTGATCAACGGAAAATTGAAAACTTTGAATGCAGATTTTTAAAGGATGAAACCACAAGTCTTTAGAGGTATGTCACTTTGAAATCGGATTAATTTTGGTAAAGTTATGGACTCTGGAAGTCCAATTGGGGGACACCAGAGGTATTTATTACTTATTTAATATTTTTAAAAAAGGTTTGAGCAGGGGCACTCTTTAACGTGTTTTCCGTTTTTGTTCTCAACTTGCAAATACTCTTTGTGGGCTAATAAGCCACAAGTATTAATAATATTTAAAAAAAAAAATACTTGGTTTTGGCTCCGAAAATGTCACTTGATGGGAGGATGAAGGTCCTTCAATCCACCACCCTTAGCCCGCCCACTTGCCGCCACGCCCGCGATTGTAATGTGACTGTCGCTGGCAGCCACCCACCACCTAACACCACCCACCGCCCCACCAGAGCTGGCATTTCATTGTTGTGCTTTTCTTTTCCCATTTTATTTATATAATGTGTCTCGAATGTGTGTCTGCGGGTGTGTGGGAGTTTTTCTATCAAAGCGCAGGAAACACGTGCGGGTAAAACATTTTTCAAGCTTTTAGCGCTGCATACAAATCAACCCCGAAAAACAAAAAATCCCATTCACAATAATTTGTTGAACTTCATAAGAGCCAGCGCTTTGGGTTAGTCGGATGAGAACTCGCCTTGATGGGTGGTTGGGTGGTTCAGCCAGCTGTTGCATTATGTAAAACCCCGGCATAATAGATCTGAGAATGTGGGAAAATTGTAGACGCAAATACCAGGCGAACAGCAGACGAATAAAGTGGAAAAACACGCAAGCTGTCGGCATCTGAAATCGTAGTTTCTCTCCTTTTTTAAGATGCTAATTGGGTTTTATATAATTTAAAGCACTCACTTTTCAAACTTTATTTCCGTCTTTTTCACGAAGTAAGTTGCATATATGCGAATGTGCCCAGTAAAATGCCACAAATGCAAATTAATTTAATTGAATCCAATTTGGCATTCGCATTATCTTTTTCATTGTTCCCTTAATTTAACAATTGCGGGAGAGAGAAAGAGTGGTGGAAACTGTGTGGGTTGAATTAACCACACAGTAGAAACTATTTTGTAATCCGGATTTATAAATTTATGCAAATGTGCGGTCTTAAACCGAATAAACCTTCATACGAGACTTATAAGCTTATTATGTGCAGAGCCTCTGGCAAGCTAGTTCTTTTAAATAAGATAAATTTAAATTTGTAAGCTGCTGATAAGAACATTTCGTATTAATGCAAGTTATTTTTAATTGATTACTGCTTACGAATATGGTAATCCAATAACTAGCACATTTGCCTTTGTTTATTATGTTTTTAGCGAAATATTTTCTTGCATAAATCACCAATTTTTTTTTTACCACTAAAAAAATGATTTAGTTTTCAATATTTTAACAACTGAAAAGTTAAATACTTAGATACGACTTGTAAAGTCAACAGCTAAACTGGTTCCTACAATTTTAAGTGAATGCAAAAGCCTTTAGGTCATATTTTACATTTGCCCTTTTTTCTCTTTTTAATTTGATGTCCTGATTGGATAATTTCAAAAAATAACATGGGCTTAGCAGTAAACCCATACTTTTGTTAACAGAATTATAGCAAGAGGGGGACTATTAGCATGCACTGTTATGAACTTACGGATAAAAAATGTTAGGACCGCAGCATAAAAAAGGGAAACCATTTACTACTTAGAAGGTAAATGGTTTAACATTAAAAATACAATTTTTAATGATTAACTATAAGAAAATTTGCTATTAAAATAGGTTTCCAATAATTTAAGAAATTACAAATATTTTATAACCAGACCAAACTGTTGCTTCATCGAGCAGTGTTCTAGTACAGCATTTCAAAACGCACCACTCTGTAAGTTAGCAGTTGGATAACAGAGAAAGAGCGGGCGTCTGCGCAGTGATTCCTCCAGTCACGAGTGCCAAGTCACGACTGCCGAACGGGATTCTCCTTTCCCAGCGAGTGCCGCTCTCATTGGCGGGGGAGTAGCTACCGCTCGGGTCACTCGCTGCTGCCGCCGGGACCGCCGCTGCCGCCGCCTCTGCCACCGCTTCCGCTGATGAGCGGCGCTCAGTCTGCCTGCTGCACTCGAATCGCGTGGTGGACGCCACGTCGTCGTCGTTCGGTTCTCCGATTTCGGTTTTCGCCGGTCACGAGTTTACGAGCTTAGTGGGTGGCCTCCCCTCAAAAACAGCCTATGCAAATATGTGCATGCATGCTGAAACATAAATTAAATCGAATTAAATCCGTACAAGATTCAAACTAAAGTCGAAATATTAAAATAATTGACCTTTTGTGTGTGTGTGTGTGTGACATCAGTTGTGAATCCAATTTCCGTTTCCCGGCTTTGGTTGCCTCAAAAATTTAATTAAGCCGATTTTTCAACTTCAAAAGCTAAGAGGCAAATTAATCAGCTAAAGGTAAGGCACCACAGTCAAAACGATAGGCTGTTTCTTTTTTCGAACACACAATTCCTTGAAAATGTCCTGCTCGCCTGACAACCGAAAAAACATAATTAAATTATAACAGACGAGTTCATAAATATCCCAATTTATTGCCTGCTTTTCGGGGAAGTGAACCATATTTCATGCAGCTCATAAGGCACATTTAAAGTTAAAGCTGTTTGACTTTCTCTCTGCACATCCTGCGGAATTTAAAGTCGAAAGCAATTTTAAATTTATTACACAAATACCCAGGCATGCACACGGTGGGAATGCCATTGGATATGCGCATCATAAACAACGTCCAGCACCGGAACAGACAGCATATTAAAAATGTGACTATAACCTTGGTTTCCAAACGAGCTGTGGGCGGGGACAATCGTGGATTGGAGCCCAGTACCCGGCACCCGTTCCGCCTTCCGCTTCCGCTCCCGAGTCCTGGAAACCGCATCAAGGCCACAGCAACCACGAGCAGTGCAATAGCGCCAGCCAGAGGTGTCCTCCATCGATGCCGGATAGTATCGGAGATGAGCAGTTTAAAAAACTCGGATTAAATAATAAAAAATGTATTTTGCGAATAATGTTTACTGGGATTAAAATCACCTATTTAGAAAAGAGAAATAAAGTCAAGGCATACCTTTAGTTTTAAGAGAGCTTATTAGTCTGAAACATTTAAATATTTTTGGCTGATTAAAATATTTAATTCCATAACTATAATTATATTTATATAATTATATTATAACTATACAAATGTTACTTTAAAATATTGTTATTTTGAAATTGAATATGGAACGAAACAGCTAATTGATCTAAAACCAACTTATGGTTACCAACTTAACGACAATTAATGACTAAAGTATAGTTAGGAAATTATACCATTCAATATTTGGTATGATATATATAATAATATATTTTAGACATTTTAAATCAAAAAAGTTTGGCGTAAAGCAAGCAGAGATTGCATCACTGACAAAGATAGTCCGTCTTGGCTTGGTTTGTTGTGCCCCGCTCTTGTTGCTGTTTGTTATTTGTTATTTTTACTGTACACATGACAATAACGCCGGCGGCGGGCACTGCGTCTCCTGCATCCCTGGAATGCAATGCATCGTCGGAGGAGGGCGACCGGGATCGGCTCAACGCAAACCGAAACCCAAGCCCAACTGAATCCTTCCCAGCGCGGACAGCTCGGTGCTTGTGCAATAGTTTCAAGTGGCCGGGCAACTTTTTCCATTATGAATGGTGCGGTTGCGCTTTTTTCCATCCATTATTTACGAGTTTTGAGTGCAAACTTGTTTCGCCAGCAAACAAGTGGCGGCCAGAGGATTAGAACACTCGCTCGGCCGCTTTGCAGGATATGGTGGCCTGAGGAGGGGGAGTGGTAATAGAGGACTCCTGGCACTGTGCTAAAGTTTCTGCCATAAGCCAAAGACAAAGCCACGCCTCATTCGGAAATGACCGGCAGAAAATGGTTTGAATTGCTGGACGAATTTGATGTCATTTAAGTATTTGATTGTCCATAATAAAAGCATATTTTCTGGGTATTGGTTTACTTGGCAACTTCAATCGAATATTTTGAACATTTTTTGAATTCCTATTGATCTGGAAAAAAATTAGTAAAAAATAGCATAGATAATTGCTTTAAAATAGTTTTCAGTTTATTAAAGAAATCGAATGTTTTACGAATTTTTGTCAGGTTCAAATTAAAATTAATCACTGAATATGGTTACAAGTAAATCGATTGTTTTAAGAATGTTTCACACTTAAAACAAAATAACTTCAAATTAATTTTTTTGGCATTCCTATAGGATATCTCATAGAAACTAACTTAATTTAATTTTAGTTTTTCTAGGTCAGGTTCTAGGCGCTTCCATTAGTCAAAATATCTATACTTTTCAGAGTGGCAAACTTCTAGCGCTACCAATACGAGTGTGATCAACTTTTATGTTCGCTGCTTTTTGCCCTGTTTTTCGTGGACTGCAATTTTGATAAAAAGTTTCAAACATGTCTGGTCGATGCATTTATGCGTGTGCATAATTTTCGAAATCACTTGAGTATTTTGCGAAACAAAGTCTGAAGTTTCGCCAACTTGTTTTACGCACTTGCAGGCACTGCACCGCCCAACCACCTAGCCACCCACCCAGCCACCACCCACCGGGAAAGGCCGAAACTCCACCCAATATCAGGGGCTAGGCCGTCGCAATCTGCCGCCATACACAAGTTCTCTCGTGCGGAGAGAGAATGTTCTGCATTCCCTGACATTGATAAATGATTTTCCCTCCCCCAAAAAAGTTTAGCAGAAGAAAACCCAAAACAAGCGGGCCAGCGGACGGGGGCAAAAATGCTGGTTGGAAAATGCATTCATGGCAGGAAAATTGTTGTTGCTCACTAAACCGTGAACCGAGTACGGAGAAATTCGCCTGCTGGCTGCTGCTGCTGGTGAAATTATCGCAGCTCGGCATTCTCGAGAGTCAGTGACAAGAGCCAAAAGGCAGAGGCTGAAGAAATCATAAATAAAATATAGAAGTAGATATATGCAGCAGTGTATATATAGAGCTTGTACTTGTGCCCAATTTAATTATCCTCGCCAGTCGAAAGAAGTGGCCAGGCCAAGAAATTTCATTCACTTAAAACTCCGGGGCGAAGTTCCTTCGAGCGAATGCAAATGAAAAACCACAACGCATGCTCAAGCCGAGTTTTCAGTTTGAGTTTTCCGCAATTCCCCCGCCACTTTCCCGGCTTTCCCCCGGTTCAACATGTAATTAGAGTGCGAGGAATGCGCGCGGTTGCCAAAAATGTTGTGGCCGTGGGTGCTTTGATGTATATATAGCGGCATATATATACGGATATCTGTAGAAAATGTAAATGTAAATGTAAGCACTGGGGCTTCAGCGCCACTGTCTTAACATCTGGCTGCCCGCAAAAGTTCAAGTTTGCTGCTTGTCTGCCGCCGGAGTCCTTTCTCGAGTGCCTCCGCCAGTGTGTAAATTGGACGAATGTGTCGTTATGTCGATGTGTTGACATCCAAAGTGCACAGAAACGACCATGCAAAAAGTAGCAAAAACTGCACAAAACTTTACTTCAAGTTGGCCAGAAGAGCAGCCGTTGGATGGTGCGGTCAAAACAGACAAAGTTATCCAGTTACAGTCTACTTTTTAAATTCCCTTACTCGAGTGTTCAACAGTTTAAGCCATTTCGTGCATTTTTCGGCCTTTAAATGAACGTATTTTAAAATAAATCCCTCTTTAAAAGTCTGCAAAAATAAAACAAATGGAGACCACTTAAAAACAGTGAACAAAAATAATTAAATATTGCCATTTTAGAATTAAATCAATGATATATATTTCTTAATATACATTTTTCGATTTAAAATTAAAAAAAGGTTATTAGTGTAACCAGATTGCGCTTGGTACTTTCATGTAATAATTTAATTAATCTATATATTAATTTAAAACTGTATGAAATAATGTAATAGAATTCCAAGTTTAATAAAATAATTATGTTTTAAAACCGGAAAAGTTTAAATTCAGCCGACTGCAACCAATAGCACGCCCAATTATAATAATTAATAAATGTATAATCACTTTAACCATTATCATTTAAATTGTTGATGGCCATGCTCTTTCATCAAACAGAACTCGAGTTCTGATTCTCCTCACTTATATAAAACGGATACCAAACTCATCATTAATATCCTGCACATCGCACTTAAATGTTGGTTAGTTTATGTCCATATTGTATCGGGTATACTGTGCGGAATAAATTGCTTTTGAAATTTCTGCTCTTTGTCCATAAAGATGGGGGGAATGTTGAAACGCATTTCCCTTGTTCGCATTATTAACGCACATAAAACTCACATATAAAGTGATTTAAATTTATTAAATATAAAACGCCACCACAGCGCACCACACCGCACCGAAGATGCGAGCGCATAACAATTGCAATAAAATTTAACGTGCATCGATAAAAAGAATATCAAACTGAATAAAAACAACAACAAAGCGGGAACGATCCGCTTGGCAGAAGAGAACTTCATTACTTGTTTGAATGAATGGGGGAAAGTGCAAAAAAAATATATAAAAAACGAAAAAAATGGAAAGCGGGGAAAACAAAAAGAGCGAATATGATGGAAAAACCGCTCACAATGGGCTCGACCGATACGAGAGCCCCTGAATTGCGAACGGCTTTATGCATCCAACAAATGAAGCGAATGAGTCGAGCCATCAACAAAGGCGAACGTTAAATGTTTTATATTTAAGAGCTCGCCAAACAACCAATATGAGTGACTGACTATAACCATTTTTCTACTCGCACAAAAGCACTCCGCTCCAACGGCCTCGTCATGAATAATTATGATTTTCAATTTAAAGAATATTTTCACACAGCACAGGCTGTTTAATTGCTTTTTCTTCGAACGAATCGATACAGAAATTGACTTGTCGACGTTGCTCCTGCAAAATGTTAGAGGTGGTGGAAAATTGGGTTTCAATTGCTGAGCAATTTTAAGCTGCTTCGAGGAATCCATTTTACCAGCAAACACACATGAAAAAATACAAAAAAAAATACTTTATGAAATTAAAATCCAATTAATAAAAACTAAATGGAATTGTCTATATGCTGCTTTCAGTTCCTATAAAATTTAATGTTAAAGAAAAGGTTTGTTTATTTAATGGAATTTATTTCGTCACACTCAAACGAAATAAATAATTGATCAGCAACAACTAAACAATTTTCCTCTGTGTAGAAAAAAATGCATATATTTTTAGTTTGGATAATAGTTTTAAAGTCAACTTGCAAATTGCTCTGATCTTTATACTCATCCATGAAAAAGTATGATAAGCAAATCAAAAATGTATATTTGCCAATTACGCTCTTTTTGGTTATTCAATGCATAATTTATGCGACAGGCGGTAATGTTATTATACCAAATCAGAGGAAATATTATTGCATTGCCCGATACACTCGCACTTATACATATGAATGAATATAATTTTAATTCAGCACTGCATGCAAATGAAATGGAAACGTGCCTAATTTTCTTTTCGCCTTTAAACGAAATCAATGGCAGCTGTCAGCACGACATGCCACCACAACACCCCAGTATTCCATTCGAGTCGGGGCTCAATAAAAATAATAAATAATAGAAAAATGCGCATAGAAATTGCCATTGAGATGGGTGCAAAAAAGGGGAGTGAAACTGGGGAGGGAGAAATGTGCGTGACACTCGCTCAACTCATGGACTTTCGTGGTTTTTCATAAGAAAACAAATGAATTGAAAAAGACTTCGAGGTATCCATGAAAAAGTAGATAAAGAATCCAAAATAATTATAAAAAACACTTGAAACAATTTCAAGTATGTCATTAACTATTAACTAAAAGATTTAAATAGTATAATAAATAGTAAGATTTAAATTATATTTAATCAATAAATATATTTTGTTTAGATTTGAATCCCTGTTAATATAATGAAGATATAGCTTTGAATATTGTTCGCTTTAAATATAAAAATAATGGAAAAAAAGGGTGCTATTTAGACGTATTTTTGATGGTTTTCTTGCCCTTCCGGTTTCGATTCTAAAATGTGTTCTCCGGGGTCTTTTGTGTTATTGACTGCGACATTTATATGTCAAGCAGTCAGCCATATGTGCATTTTCACATAATAGACGTTCGTGTGTTTTTCGGCGGTTTAAAACATGACAATATTGACAGCAGTATACACATAAATTCACACAAGAAAAACTGGGACACACGCGGGTGAAAACCTTTTACTAATTAGGCAGCCCATTTTCAATTATGCGCTGCAACAAAAAAACAGAACACATCAACTTCTTCAGCGAAACTAGAAACAAAACAATTTCGTATTAATGAATCGAAAATAATTGTCCAACGTCAAACAACAAACGCAATGTCAGAGATATTTAATAGATAGCCACAAAATAATTACGCCAAAATAATTTACTATGAATTACTAAGGCAAACAAAACAAGAGCGGGCAACTTGCGCAACATAAATTAGAATTTGTTGTTTAATTGGATATTTGATGCGAATTGTTGTTGCACCGCGTCCCGCTTAGCCAACGAGCGAATTGAGCTTTTCTCAACGTATTAAATTTCATCAATATGTACCAATTATTTTCACCATGAGCTTCATTATTTTCGAAAATAAAATGTAGCCACGACAGGAGCTTCGTTGCCCCGGATTGTGTTTCAGGAAAGTACGAATGTTAGGAAGGGCAGGGACTAAGGTCTATCCGGTTTGGTCATCAATTAGTTTTTGCTCTGGACAGACCTGCAATTGAAACCAAACATTTTATGGCAATTAGGATGGGCAGGGGGTTCTTTGTCATAAGGTAGAATAGAAATCCATTTTAAAAGTTTCAATGGGAAATGGTTTCAAAACAAGAAGCTATTTCTATTGATAACTCCTGTTAAATCAAAATAACTACAAAAACCTTTGGATATATTTCTTTAAGGATTTCAGACATCTAGATAATTTTTTGGACACCTTTTTCACTTCACATTGTTATTTAATTAGTCAAATTAAAATTTAATAACCGGGAAACCTGCATCTGTGTCCGCCCTTTCTCCTTTTTCGAGTCACCAAAGCCACAAGTTATAAAAACACTTTAATGCATCAAAAACATATTATTTAATAAATAAACATTTCACATTTTCCTTGCAGTGGCGCAAATAAAAAGTATGGCCAACGAATCTAGCAAGGATCAACAGCAATTTAATTAAACCACAACAAATTCACTTGATTGCAAAACATGAATTCGCAAAAAAGCATCAGCACACGTGGTTGCTGTTAAAATTCCTTACTTGCATAAAATATGAAATTCATAACATTTTAATATTGCCATTTGCGTTAATTAAACCATGAGCAATTCAAGCCATTCAAACCGGAGCCAGAAAAAGCAGCTCGCTTAAAAATGCACACTCCCAAGTGCCGTCGTCCGAGGTAAGTTCTGAAAATAAACATAATAAGAGATATTGCCCACGTCTCCTGCATTCTTGAAATACAATATTTTCATACAATTATCAGAGCAGGGCGGTGCGGTGCGGCGGATGGCAAATTTAATAAGAGCCAAGAGCTTTTCTACACATTCAAAATATTTTGACAAGTTTTTCAATAATGCAATAAAGTTACCAACTTGGGGGGGCCCCAAGGCGCTGGCAGTAGCGTCCAAGGACACTCCTGATGAAATGAAAATATTGCCCACAATTTGTTAGGTCCTGCCCGAGAACGTGGCCCGGAAGTGGGACTCTGGTCAGGAGTCCTCGTGGCCATTTGCGGCTACTTGTTTATCTTCCTGCATTACTTTCTTGTTTTCCCCCATCTCTGGAAAGAAGGGAAGAAGAAAGATTTTTCAATAGACCAGAACGGCGGACGGGCAACGCATAAACAAATAATAAAAAATAACACAGCAACGGCAATCGCGACCCTGGCAACGACCTTTGGGCCACTCATTTGTCAAGACGCGGAACGGGGCTGAGAAATCCAGGAAGGAAGCCAACCACCCGCGGCCCAGGGCATCCATCTTGGCGCCCTGCCCCTGGCAACCAAGACATATGGCCGCGCTCCGAGCAAATCGCGCTCCCAGTGACCAAAACAAATTAAGGCCCCACTTAAAGGCACAGCCAACAAATCAAGTCGGCACAACCAAAGAAAAGTGAAAAGCAAACTCTGGGAGCCAGCAAAGTCGACCTGACGCCGAAACGAGACGCTGGAGACAATCTTTACAAGATTTACCTGACTGGCATAAGTAATCAGACTGGGTCCGACTGGCTCCAACTTGGGCCAATCGAATTCTAAACTGTCGTCCGAAAACGATTTGGACACAATGCTGAAATCGGACATCATAGGGCAAGGACACGAGGCCATCAATCTATTGACAGGCCATGAGTGTTCTCGAAATCAGTTCTTTGGGTAAAATCTCCGGGTTACGGAGTACATAAAAATTGATTAAAGAAATAAGTTTATTCATCAAATTGTTATTCTATTGATAGTCTCATTAGCATTTGAGTTTAGGTTTATAAAATAATCAAAAAGTTTTGTTTAAATACCTGCTTTAAAAATTACATGAATTGAGAAATGAATGCCATGCCCATTTAACTTATCCTCTTAATTATGTAAATAATTAAATTTTGTGAAAAACAAGTTTCTGTTTTTTCAGAGATTTAAACATTAATTAAACATTATGTGCTCTATTAAATAAAGTCAAATCTTTCACAAGAAATCCATTCGAAAGCAATAAACTGCCCCAAAAGGTATGCTATAAATTGTGGGTGCAAATTAAAGTTTAAGAGTTTCAAGGAACTTGAGCAATTTCCTGACCTGAAACCTTGTCTGGGCGACAATGAAATCGATTAAGCTTCCCATGTCCATGTACACATCCACATCCACATCCTCATCCTCGTCCATGTCGATGTCCTCAAACATTTTGCAGCAGCAACTCATTAAAAAGCATTAAACGCCAGGAACGGAAGTCATTGAGGCTATCAGACGGAGACAAGCTTCCGTTTCTCTACTTGAACTGTTCCCTCTTTTTTTTTTTTTTTTTTTGCTGCCTCTCCGGCACAGATTTACGGGGCCAAAAGTGCGTAAAAAAGAGGAGTCGGGAGGAAGGAGGAGCTCGTCCGTCCGGCAGAGATTGTCACCGGGCCAATGGTGTTGGAGACTTCAAATGATTTATCGCCCGATAGTTGAGTTCAAAAGCGAAACGCAAAGAGACAGCCGGCAAGGACTCGCCCGCACAAATATTTATTTATAAAATTGTTATCCCAACCGGGCGCAGTCCTCTGTTTCTGTTCTGTTCTGTTCGCCTCCTTCCGAGTCCTTCGAATCCTTCGATTCCTGCCTGGGCTCTTGGGCTCTTGGGCTGATGGGCCGCGTGTCTTGCTCATTGCCAGGCATTCGCTCATTTTCAAATCGGATTTTATCAACTGAATGCCATTCTTGTGCAAATATCTTATCTCGCATCCGCACAGGATAATGGCAACTTTTTCTCGCTGCCGCACTGCTTTGCGTTCATCTCTGCTCCTTTTGGCTTTAGCAGGAGCTCAGCCCCGGCTTTGGATCCCCCGCTATTGTATGGCTTTGGAATTATTTCGAAAGCGGAAATTGATTTTCCTTTCTTATTGTGCACGGTTTTTCGTGTTTCTGTTGCTTTGCTGCTGCTTTGCTTTGCTTTGCTGATTTCCCCCGACTCGGCGACACAGCTCGCTTTACATATAAATAATTTGGCCAAGGGCCGGGGAGACAGCAGCTCCTGGCATTTGTTTAGCCATAAATGGAAACTCACTTTCCTTTTTTTTCGCCCCCTGATTTTCCCTTTGCAGCGCCTCATTTGGCGCCATTGCGATGATAATACGGCGATGATTAGAAGCCCCGAAAAGCTGAGCGCAGAAAGTGCTTCAGTAAAAGTGGATTTTAACCCTTTATGAATTGAGGACTTTTCCATAAAATCAGATTTCCATGGAACAATTTCTCCATTTATGATAAGTACAGATTTTTTGTAGGTTTTGAGTTTTTCAAGATTGAACAAGAGCTTATTATCTTAATCTTAATCTTTTAATTTTTTTTTTTCAATTCTTTTAAATTAACACTAAATTTATGTTGGCCAAAAAAATATAATTAAATGCCAGCACTTCAGCTTTTTATAATTTTTTTCTTTGCAAAAGATATAGATGCCTTTTTACAGTGGACACAAATGAAAAAGTTGCTCATACGCAACGTTGGCTCTTAAGGGGTTAACCAAATTTGGGGCAGACTATCAGTGGTCCTGCCCTGACCTGGGCCATTCATTCTCGCGCTGGTGTCGAGCCTAGTCCGAGGTCCTGGAACAGTGGCCCGTATCCTTTGGCGCGTCTTTGACATTATGAATGATCAGCATAAATTTCCCTGAGCTCTCGCGCTCCAAGGCCCAGCTGCAGATGCTTCGGCGAGGACAAAAAAAAAAAAAAGGGAGCGGAACAGCGGGGCCACGGCAAACGGAGCCAGATAACTAGCGAACAAAGTGAAGGACGGCTCTGAAATTCATTTCATTTCATTTCCTTTGTACGTGAGCAACATTTTTTATGCAATTCCCTGTAATAATTCTCTTGGTTGTCGCCTCTTCACGCATGAATATTCAAGCTGCAAGCGAGAGTCCTGAATCCAGAACGAAGCCCCAGCTAATGAGACTTTCTATGGCATTTTAACATTTCTTAAACCCAAATCGTGTCCGGATTGGTTCATTCATAGGCAAACAAACCCGGAGTGACCCCAAACATGTTTGTCCAACAAACTTGCACAATGAGCCCAAATAAGAGAGAGCAAATAATGTCAAACAAAAAGGAGGGAGATGGCTGGGACAACGGAAAACTAAATTCAGTTTACATAATATAGCTCATAAAATATTTTTCGCACATTCATTGCCCCTTGGCCCGAAACTAGGCCACACTCCAGTGCTGCTCAAACACAATTCAGGCATAAACAATAAAGTAAAACGACAATGGAGACGACGAAGAACTCGAAGGGAAAATAACTTGAAACTTGAATATTTACATATGAAACGAAAACCACCCACGCGACACGAGCAGACACACAGGGAAAAATGTGGTGAATTCGAGGAGGGGGGATATGGATCCGAGGGTCGGGCTTCGAGTTCGAGACTAAACAGCACTAAATTAATTCTGCACAATTTGCATTAAAATATGCAAATAAAAAAGTGAAAGAGGCAAAGACGGAAGCGACCGTTTAAGGCCTTCCCCTGCCTACGAACTATAAAGGGGATCCATCCGACGGGCCATATACCATATATTCAGACCCAAAAATAAGCGTTAAGCATATGTGTGCTCGAGTGGCTGCAGACAATGGCGGTCGGGGGAGTTTGCCTTTTTAAATTGCGAATGCTTTAATGGGCCCAAAGCCTCGGGAGAATTCCGGCCAAACATGGACCTGCATCGGTTCTTGGCTTTCTTTCGGCTGGCTCGAGTGTTTCGATTATGAAAGTGCCTCCCCGGTCGCACCACATTATTGCATGTGGTGCAGCAGGATGTGCCGCAGGATGAGGCCAAGGAGCACAGCCACATGTCTGACTGGCTCCCCGGAATATTACACCCGGAGAAGCTCGCTGCAAATTTGATTGTTCTTGGAGAGCGCGTGCCTCGACGTTGCCGCCAAGAAAACGGGCTCCAAGGAGCCCAAGAAAATGGGTAATGGGAAAAGGGCCCGGGTGTCGGCATCCAATGAAGCATGAAACTTTAGCACACTTGCAACAGTTTCCCATTTTTTCCTACTTCTTTTCCACCAGCTATTCCTTTTCCTGTTCTTTTTTTCTGTGAGCGAAATATGTTAGCTGCGACTTTGGTAATCTGCAGTGGGTGGTGGATATCCGTATATATACATATATATACATCTAGAGAGAAAAATAGATAATAGTGGGGAAATGCGTGCACAGTGAAGTGCAAGATGCTCAAGCAACAATATAGTATATATATCAACGCTAAAGTTGGTCGATAATTCTCCAAAAAGGACTCAAAATTAGAGTTGAAGTATTAGTCGAATTTGTATTTAAATGCTTAAAATGCACTATATTATATTACTATGAATGGCAAAGAGTAAAAGTATTTTAGAATTAATAATAACTTATGAGTAATCCTAGCTTAGTTACATTTAAACAGAAGTGTAAATATCGTATAAAAAAAAGTGTGAAAAGTCTTGCAGAAGGTTATTCCCCAGCTTAATAAAAACCCCTTTTGAAGCATAGACAAATACAATGAAATACAATTATTCAAGAAGCCGACCGTCTGGCTCATGTAACAAATAACTCTGCAATTTTAATTACAATTCCGTTCCCTTATAACATATACATACATATACACATTCATAGAGAATCCATGATTAATTTAAGAGGGAGCATGTCAATATACACACATGCAGGCTGGGGAATCGTATTACCTTATTGCTACTCTTAC